TGGGGAAACTTCGCTGGGAGGGAGCGAGACCGGATCCTTCGACGGGTATGAAGCCGTGGAATAGCTAGGAAACTGCGCTGGTCTGGGAGGAGGGCGAGACCGATGCTCGACGGTTATGAGCCGTGGAAATAGCTTGGGGAAACTTCGCTGGGAGGGAGCGCGACCGGATGCTCGACGGGATGAAGCCGTGGAAATAGCTTGGGGAAACTGCGCTGGGAGGGAGCGAGACCGGATGCTCGACGGGATGAAGCCGTGGAAATAGCTTGGGAAAACTGCGCTGGGAGGGAGCGAGACCGGATGCTCGACGGGATGAAGCCGTGGAAATAGCTTGGGAAAACTTCGCTGGGAGGGAGCGAGACCAGATGCTCGACGGGATGAAGCCGTGGAAATCGCTTGGGAAAACTTCGCTGGGAGGGAGCGAGACCGGATGCTCGACGGGATGAAGCCGTGGAAATAGCTGGGGGAAACTGCGCTGGGAGGGAGCGAGACCGGATGCTCGACGGGATGAAGCCGTGGAAATAGCTTGGGAAAACTGCGCTGGGAGGGAGCGAGACCGGATGCTCGACGGGATGAAGCCGTGGAAATAGCTTGGGGAAAAGCTTGGGGAAACTTCGCTGGAAGGGAGCGAGACCGGATGCTCGACGGGATGAAGCCGTGGAAATAGCTTGGGGAAATAGCTTGGGGAAACTTCGCTGGGAGGGAGAGAGACCGGATGCTCGACGGGATGAAGCCGTGGAAATAGCTTGGGGAAACTGCGCTGGGAGGGAGCGAGACCGGATGCTCGACGGGATGAAGCCGTGGAAATAGCTTGGAGAAACTTCGCTGGGAGGAAGCGAGACCGGATGCTCGACGGGATGAAGCCGTGGAAATAGCTTGGGGAAACTGCGCTGGGAGGGAGCGAGACCGGATGCTCGAAGGGATGAAGCCGTGGAAATAGCTTGGGGAAATAGCTTGGGGAAACTTCGCTGGGAGGGAGCGAGACCGGATGCTCGACGGGATGAAGCCGTGGAAATAGCTTGGGGAAATAGCTTGGGGAAACTTCGCTGGGAGGAGCGAGACCGGATGCTCGATGGGATGAAGCCGTGGAAATAGCTTGGGGAAACTTCGCTGGGAGGGAGCGAGACCGGATGCTCGACGGGATGAAGCCGTGGAAATAGCTTGGGGAAACTTCGCTGGGAGGGATCGAGACCGGATGCTGGACGGGATGAAGCCGTGGAAATAGCTTGGGGAAACTTCGCTGGGAGGGAGCGAGACCGGATGCTGGACGGGATGAAGCCGTGGAAATAGCTTGGGGAAACTTCGCTGGGAGGGAGCGAGACCGGATGCTGGACGGGATGAAGCCGTGGAAATAGCTTGGGGAAACTTCGCTGGGAGGGAGCGAGACCGGATGCTGGACGGGATGAAGCCGTGGAAATAGCTTGGGGAAACTTCGCTGGGAGGGAGCGAGACCGGATGCTGGACGGGATGAAGCCGTGGAAATAGCTTGGGGAAACTTCGCTGGGAGGGAGCGAGACCGGATGCTGGACGGGATGAAGCCGTGGAAATAGCTTGGGGAAACTTCGCTGGGAGGGAGCGAGACCGGATGCTGGACGGGATGAAGCCGTGGAAAATAGCTTGGGGAAACTTCGCTGGGAGGGAGCGAGACCGGATGCTGGACGGGATGAAGCCGTGGAAATAGCTTGGGGAAACTTCGCTGGGGAGGGAGCGAGACCGGATGCTGGACGGGATGAAGCCGTGGAAATAGCTTGGGGAAACTTCGCTGGGAGGGAGCGAGACCGGATGCTGGACGGGATGAAGCCGTGGAAATAGCTTGGGGAAACTTCGCTGGGAGGGAGCGAGACAGCATGCTGGACGGGAAAAACCGTGGAAAATAGCTTGGGGAAACTTCGCTGGGAGGGAGCGAGACCGGATGCTGGACGGGACAAAACCGTGGAAATAGCTTCGGGAAACTGCGCTGGGAGGGAGCGGGACAGCATGCTGGACGGGACAAAACCGGGGAAAATAGCTTAGGGAAAGTGCGCTGGATGGGAGCGAGACAGCATGCTGGACGGATAGGAAACCTTGAAAATAGTTTGCGGCAGAACTGTTGGCACGGGTTTTTTCAGGACAAATGCCATCATTGCGATTGGCCTGAAAAAATTGTGGACCCAAGACTGGTCAAATGGTCCCAAGACCGGTCAAACGGTTTGCAAAGGCTGAAAAATGGGACATGCACAGAGAAGCTTTTACACAAAAAAAGCCTTTACACAGAAACTTTGACACACAGACGCGTTTACACAGACACAGAGGAGTCTTGACACAGAAGCCTTTACGCACAGAAGCTTTTTTGCACAGAGTAGCTTTTACACACAGAAGTCTTTACACAGAGAAGTCTTGAGACAGAGAAGCCTGTACACACAAAGGCTTTTACAGAGAGAAGCCTTTTGTACAAAGAAGTCTTGACACAGAGGAGCTTTTACGAGAGAAGTCCTTACACAAACGAGATTTACACACAGAAGGTGTTACAGATAGACATTCTTTCGGCGCACAGAAACTTTAACACAGAGCAGCTTGTACACACAGAAGCTTTTACACAAAAAAGCCTTTACACAGAGAAGTTTTTCACACAGGAGCTTTTGCACAAGAAAACTTTTACACAGGAAAGCTTTTACACACAGAAACTTTCACACACAGAAGCTTTGTACACCGAGAAGTCTTACACAGAGGAGCTTTTACGCACAGACGCATTTACACAGAGAAGCCTTTACACAGAGAAGCCTTTACGTACAGACGCGTTTACACAGAGAAGTCTTTGCACAGAGGAGCTTTTGCACACAGAATCTTGTACACACAGACGCTTTCACACACACACAGGAGGTTTTACAAACAGACAACTTTACGGTGCACAGATTTTTTACACAGAGCAGCTTTTACGCAGCGAAGCTTGTACACACAGGGGGCTTTTTTACACAGAAGCTTTTACATAAGGTTTTTTTAATACACAGAAGCTTTTACACACAGAAACCTTTACACACAGAAGCTTTTACACACAGAAACTTTTACGAAGGTTTTACACACAGAAGCTTTTAACACAAAAAAACCTTTAAACAAAGGAGCTTTTACACACAGACGGGTTTACACAGAGAAGTCTTTACACACGGAGGCGTTTACACAGGAAAGAGTTTACACGGAAGCGTTTACACAGAGTAGTTTTTACACAGAGAAATCTTTACACAAAGAAGTCTTGACACAGAGAAGCTTGCACACACAGAGGCTTTTACACACAGAAGCCTTTTACACAGAGCGGCTTTTTCACAGAGGAGCTTTTACACAGAGGAACTTTTACACAGAGAAGCTTGTACACTCAGAGGCTTTGACACAGAGAAGTCTTTTACACAGAGAAGCTTTTGCACACAGAAGCTTTACACAAACAAAGCCTTAACACAGAGGAGCTTTTACAGACAGAAGCTGGTACGCAAAGAAACTTTCGCAAACAGAAACTTTTAGACACAGAGCGCGTTTTACACAGAAGATTTTACACACAAGAGCTTTTACACCAAAAACCTTTACACAGAGAAGTTCTTGCCCACAGAAGCTTTTACTTGCAGAAGCTTTTATGCAAAGAAGCTTTTGTACAGAGAAGTCTTTACCCATCTTTTATCATGTCTCATTTTTCATGATCATTTGCCATCTGTCACCTTCATATATATCTTCGTTTTCATGCTCTTTTGGTCAGCTCCCTCTGTCGTTTAATTTTCATTTCGTTCTGTCCGTCCACGCTTCGTGCTCGCTCCCTCTGCGGCGAAGCAAACTAAACGAGAACGCAGAAATAGATAGCGACTAGACAGATGGGATAGAGTTAATTACATTAACAGAAATAGCGACTAGAAGACTGTAGGCGTAGCTGACACAGCATGCTGTGGTGAATCGTGGCCCCTGATACCATCAGTGCGCGCGATGTTTAAGTAAAGATCTTACGTCGATTTCGTGCAGAGCACAGCTGGCCACACCCCAAGATTTTCAAGAAAAGGCGTGCTGTGTGCCGTCTTGCTTTTGGGTTCTCTGGCCCACCTTGTTTTGGAAGCTATGTCCCATTAGATAGATTACTTGCATAGTAAACACGCTGATTTTCCGCAGTCATATTACATGTACGACCTGCAGCAAACATACCTGTGCTTCATCGGCATGTGCCCATGCACAAAACATATCGAAATATCCCAGATTATCCCAGCGGATTTCGGACCCGAATGGGCTATGTTTAAAACAAAAGAGCCATGAAACACATAGCCCTATCCCATTCCATCCCAGTATATATTGGTTGACTATGGTTGTGGTTGCTTCATGGGCCCTACTCATGGCTCTGAAAATGGGGAAGATTCCAAAATAGCAACTTTATAAATAGGAAAAGAGTATCAGTGGGGCCTTTTCAGTTAGAAGATGGCTTATAAACTCCGTTAACTATAGTTATAAGATGTTACAAGTATCATAGACCATAGTTATTGGAGTTGTAAACCAACTTAACTATCTAGGGGGCCCTACATTGCATAAACTCTGGTGCCATCAATTTTCGCGCTTTTCAACAAAGGTCAGCATTAGGTCTTGTCCTCCAGTTTTGTCGCCAAGCGAATGCTGTGGATGTCTGATTGCATGGTCGTTGCCTTTCAACCCCTGCCGTTGAGGTACCCGGAAGATGCAGGTTGATCACCAAAATCGACTCACTTGATTAGGTTAGCAGCTTGAATCTTGGAAAGTTCTTCTGAGGTTCAAATAATTATACCAATTCTTGACAATATTACCATATATTACCAATGCCAAACTATTGACCACTTAAACATATTGTTGAATCTGATAGAACCAACCAGAAGAAAAACGAGGCTCAACTATGTTAAAGGTCCATCTTGGCTAGTAAAAACCAGCACATGAATCCATACTAACCCTTCATTTCAGCTGGCTAATGACCATTGCATGTGTTAAATCCCCATTTCAATCATCTCCCTAGGATTTTCCCGTTTTTTCCGATCTCATCCACCTCTTCCCATCCTTTTTGAACACCCAACAGACAGGGCGCAGAAGGCACTCCCAACGCACACCAGCAGCACCGCAGCGGCGCTCCGGAGATCAACCCCACGACGACCCTTCATAAGTTCATAGGAAAAGGTGAAGAATGGCACCTGTCGGACGTTGAGGCGCCCAAACGTGATGTGAACGTTGGTTAACAAAAGCCCCAGTAACTAGTCAACTAGTTCGTTATTTGCGTACCATAAACCATAGTGACATTGGAGTTATGTGAACCCCAACTGAACGCTATCGTGGCCGGGGGCCCTAAAAAATTGTGTCAGACGTTGAGAAATGGCCCTGACCTCACAAAAGACCCGGTCATTGCTCCATGGTCCTCCATGGTGCTGGAAGATTTAGCTACAAAACTTACTGGGTCATTTTGGTGGTAAATGTTGGTAAATGTTGGTACATATTCTAGACATGGAGCATATGGGCTCTGGTCATTGAACACTTTGCGTACTGGAAAATGGACAATGGCCCACCTTGCTGAGTTAGCGAAGTTTAAAATGGGGACTTTCCATAGCTATATGTTGGTTTACCAGAGGGTAACCATACTTAACCCCCTATGCTTGTTGGGACCTAGTGATCTAGTGAGTCAAGTACCTGTCATTGGGTTTTAAGAGAAAATCGTCAGAAAGCCGCGGGATCATTTTCCAAGATTTCGTATCCCCATAGGACCGTTCGTTGCGTCAATTGGATTGGTTTTTCAGGGAAAATCGATGGCAGAGACTCGCGTAGTTCATGATGTTCATGGGAAAGCCGTGGAAAAAAACCAAGGTTTCCTGATGATTTTCCCTTAAACCAACCCATTGAACTTACTGCTTAAATGCTGCTTAGACGGACCATTGGAGGTAGCCAGGTAGCCCTTTGCAGGTGGCAAAATTGATGGCTATTGGCTCAGAACATGCCACCCGTAACCCATGAAATCCAGTACAGTAAGGGAGCTGCTTGGATCGCAAGCCCCCCCCAAAAAATGCAACTCTTTTGCCAGTGACCAACTTCTATGCTTTGGGAGTTGCGAAAAAAATGGACCATGGAGCTAGTTCAGTGGCTGATTACTCGCTTGTAACATGCGATAGAGAATCTGGGGAAAAATGCCCAGTTATAAGGGTATATAACACCAGGTACCAAATGGTACTGCCGGTCTTGAAGCTGAGAAAAACCGCGAGCAAAACCTTGTTCCATTGGAATACCCTCTGGTAAACGTGTACGTAACTATGGAAAATCACCATGCTAATGGGGATTCATCCACTATTTCTATGGCCCATATGGCCATTTTCAGTAGCTTTTTGTATGTTTACCATTAGAATCAACGGTTTCTGAGCAGTTAACGTCATTTTCACCACAAAACCCCGAAACCCTCCCCTTCGAAAACCGCGCACGTTGGCGTGGATCATAGAGACGAAGGCGACGCCGCCGTATAACAAAGCCGTGTTGTTGGCCAGCAACGAGAAGCCACTCACTAGTGAAATGGGTAAAACCACCCAGGCCTCCTCTCCTTAGTTCAGAAAATCATAGAAAATCGGGATAACATATGGAGAAAACTGGGAAATCGGTTTTTTGTTCATCCCAACGTCAGTATACGTAGCCAAAAAAATAGCCCGTCCAAGTTCCCATGAACATCGGCATCAGTTCCCACAGTAACGGGTGTATCGCCCATTCTTGTTCTAGATACCCTCTGGTAAACTAACATAGCTATGGAAAATCACCGTTTTTAATGGGTAAATCCACTATAAATGGCCATGTTCAATAGCTATGTTAAATTACCAGAGGGTACTTAAAGGGTCTAGTTACAAAGCAATGTCGTTGGATCATGGATCTGGCTGGCTGAAGTTCTGAAAAAAAAAAATCATGGCACAACGTCAGTACCACCTCCAATTGGAGCCTCCCAAAGATAATCATCAAATCCTTACTGGTGCTTAGCAGGGAATTTGAGGGAACGATCCATTTCATCACTAGTAATAATCATCCCATTCCCTTTTTGCCATCCATTCCCTACTAAGCACCAAAAAGAATCTGAACAATGATCATTTGGTCAGTAAGTCGCTGTATGGGTCACCAGCTCCTTTGAGATGATCGTAGATGAATGGTCACATCGACATCAACATTTGTTTCCGCCACAGAAAAACACACACATATATATATATATATATATTTCTTAGAAAAAACACTTGCAATGGCTGGTACAGTTTGGGCTTCGTTTTCCAATGTTCTGATTTTTGAGATCTATTGCGCATGATGACATGTCATACAGGCAAGCCCTCAGCATCATGAAATGATGGCAACGGCCTGCTATAGCAACACAAAAGGGGGACCTCAAACGATGAGATCATTACTTATCATTACCCTTTAGCAAACCCAACAAAGGAAGAATTTAAGGTAAAAGATCTTCACTCACTATCATTACCCATACTTATCCATGATGATCCATCATTTTACCCTCTGGTAAACATACAAAAAGCTATTTAACATGGCCCAGTCGAAATAGTGAGTTTTCCCATTAATAGCATGGTGGATCTTTCCAGTTCGTTACGTAAACGTTTACCAGAGGCTACTTTCTGCATGAGTTCTTTTCAGATCAAAGACATGGACCCTCCCCAACTCCTCCATCTAGGTGCGATGTGGCCGTTCGAATGTGCAGGCCACCAAACTGATGGCACTCATGTGGAGGGCAGTGATGCTGTCGGGGTAGGGGAAACCCAAGGTGATGGTCCGTTTGACCTTGGGCAAGCCGGTGATCAATGGGATGATGAAATATCACCTTGGTGAAATGAAGTATATGGGTATGGGCCAAAATTGCGTATCCCAGTTATTCGATGGTTAATACTGAACATAGACTTAAACCTGTGGTCTCTGAGGTCCTTAATTTTGACCCATATCCATATAGAAATTATGATCCCATTTCTAATTGTTAAGGATGTTGAGGATGTTAAGGATGTCAAGGGCCACAACTGTGATGATGATGATGATGATGAGGATGGAGGATGGAGGATGGAGATGGGGAAAATGATATGATGGGATTTTGCAAGCTTTAAAATGGGCCATTGTTTGTTCCACTGGGATGATTAAGCAGTGGATTTTGGTAAAATGTGTGGCTGTCACAGTACTAGCTGTTACTAGCTGCTAAGGTCAAAACAGTTTTGTTCCATCCGACATTCCCAAGACACAATGTTGCACAGTTTGTCAGACATGAGATGTCTGAAGGAAAAATATTGTTTTTTTCATATTATCTCTGTGGTACTTGCGCAACATGGCAAACCTGTTTTTTTGGCGAGAGGTGATGCCAAGTGATACCTCAGTCAACGAGTTGATTGAAATTCCTCTGTTGGATTGGACCTTGGACTGTGGGCGTTGTTTATACGTTTTAAAACACAGTCCGACATAGCCGCTAACTCGTGGGGAATGAAGTGAATGAAACAACATGAAACAACTTGCAACTCAAATTCACCCATCTTTGGACCGCCCATAGCGGGATGAACCAAGCACTGGCTACGAGTCTAGAGGTGGTGAAAAGCTGGGTGAAAATCAACCAGCGTACAGCTATAACTGGAGAGAAGCCACGACCAGCATTTTGGGGCCTGCGACAATCCTATTTTTTTGAGGTAATTCGGCTGTGCATTACATTTTGTTTGTTTTCAGAATGGTAAATCAGTCCCATGCTACAGCCGCCGTTTCTAGCTCAGTTTCCAGAAACATCCATGTGCCATGATTTCATCATATTTCATCATCTCAGCTATAAACCTCTGCAGAAACAACGAAAAAAAGCGCCCAGCTAGCCATGTTTGATTAGAGTTCTTTTATCTGGTTGGTGGTTGTTATACCAACCCCTCTGAAAAATGATGGAGTTAGTTCGTCAGTTGGGATAAGTATTCCCAATATGATGGGAAAAAAACGTTCATGTTCCAAAGCACCAACCAAATATTTAATCACTGGTTTGTTGAATTTTACAATGTCATCCAATCATGGTTGATCAACGGTCATCACCTTTACCATTGCAACCGTAATCACATCCCCCTAATAATATTAAACAGCCAAGAAACCATGGTTTAATCGGGGATTCACACATATCTGGGCCCGTTTGGGTGATGTTTAATTTCAAGGGGGTGGGATTGCTTAACTTGGATTTGCTTAAGTAACACCATGTCAAAGAAAAAACTAAACAGGTTGCCAAAGTAGTGGGTTAGCCATTGGGGAAAACGATCAGCGACTCAGCAAATCCAAGTAATCCAAGTCAATGGATGCTTTTCATAAACCCCAATAAATAGTTCGCTATATCCCCCAAAAATCCAAACATTTTTATCAAGTTAGCTGCGTCAACTTTGCGCAAAGGGAGGCCTCACCTCGCAGGGGCGATTACATTCCATAAATCATAGTTAAGCTATATCCCATATATCTATGGATAGTTAATCTATCTAGTAATCATTGGGATTAGATTACATTCCATAGTTCTATCTATGTAAAACCCATGTTATAGTTAACTTATAGTACATTCTATATATGTATATAAATCCATATAGGTACATTCCATAGTTATATTATACATTCCCACATGTTGATAGTAAATAACTATGTATCTATGTACATATCCAAGTTGGACAAATACTATGTATCTATGTAAAGATCCCACATTTTGATACAATGCCAATAACATTTCGGAAAATATTGGATCATTTATATAGATACACAGATACTACAATATGAACATTTACATAGATACATAGTCTTTGTCCAATAATTTCACAAAATGAACATTTACATAAAAGAACATACCCTCTGGTAAACTAACATAACTATGGACAATCACAATTTTTAACAGGTAAATCCACTATAATAAATGGCAATTTTCCATAGTTATGTTAGTTTACCAGAGGGTAGATTCATCTTGTTTCCAATATTTCCACATCCCTACGGGTGCCCACAACCTTGGCAAGGCTCTAATAATTTCACCAATGTCAAGCTGGCCAGGTAAGCTGCCACCAGTATCACCGCCCAAACGCCCTGGCGAGCCACCTACGGCTCGCAACGAGACGCATGGATCACTGCTACACATTGGATCAATGTGGGGCCCCCCAGTTATGTTTGATGGTTTATAAACCCCATGAACTATAGACTATAGGTATTCTGCGCATCATAAACCATAGAAAAAATGAAGTTATGTTCACCAACTTAGCCTAGCCGTTTGGGGGCCCAGAATTGATCGGATTGGACTAATATGTTTTTTTTCATAGTCATGGGGGTACCCCAAAGTGGATGGTTGACAATGGAAAATCCTACTACAACTAAAACGATTTAAAATGAATGATTTAGGGATACCACCATTTGAGGAAATTCTCTATATCAGAAAACATTACTTCAAGTCATGTTCAGTCTATGGCCGTTTTCTGTGAACTGATCATGAGCAATTTCAACCTGGAAACCGGGAGAGAAACACCTGCAATTCACCATGAGTCGTCCACTTGGCGAATGCATGCATTACATTGCATTACCCACTTCTGACTGTTTGTTTCCCCATATACCATCTGGTTATTTAACAGTTTGCCATGGAAAATCACCGTGCTATCAATAGGTAAACCCAGGTAAACCATCTATTTCTATGGGCCATCTATACCATGGCTATGTTAGTCATAACCAGAGGGTAACTAGCTTATATTCAGCTTACATTATGCTCCATGGATCCAAGTACTTCGAAGTCCTTGGTTCGGTGATATGAACATCAAAAAAACACTTCCGATCTGTGGGATGCACCATGGACCGTCCAAGGCTTCAAGGTTGATTCACGCCTTAAAAAAACACGCATCCAATGGTTGAATATACCATATATAATCGAAATATACCTGTTCTCTATATACTGGTGCATATACCATTCAATGGTACATCCGTTATTAAGAATTATAACTTTTCTCTACTCGACATTGCCAACCCTCGACGGTAAGCAATGTCAAACCATGGATAGCAACAGGATATGAGCACTCTCCAACGCATTTGCAGCTAAAATCAACCAATAGGACAACCATTATCATTAACCTCACATGGAAGTCTGTTCGGCATCAGGCGACATTTTGCAGTATATCCATTTGTATCATTGATATCCGTATCTCACCCTCAGGTTGTGCGTATCTGCCATGGTCCCAACATGTCATCAATCCCACAATATCAATGAAAATCCTTATTATGGGGCTTATCATGGGGCAATATAGATCCACATATAGATCCACAGGAAATTGTGACCCAACGAAGCCTCTAATGACTCTAATAGTCACACTGCTACCGTGATGTATCCCATGGCACATGGCACCCGGGAATTTAGATACCAGGAATGTCTTGGAATGTTATCAATGGGAGAATTTCAGGATCCTAAAATGGAGGTACGTAAACGTACCATTTTTCTGGCCATATATATTTTGTGGGGATATTCCCTGAAATTTAGGCCCAACAAATACAAGTATGCCAAAAAATGTTCGATGGAATGGGTACCTCCAATGAAAAGAATCGGTTCCTGAAATTCCCATTGATGTGAGGCCCCCAAGATAGCTAAGTTGGTTAACAAAAGCCCCAGTAACTAGTTTGTTATTTACGTACCATAAACCATAGTGACATTGGAGTTATGTTCACCAACTGAACGCTATCGTGGCTGGGGGCCTCACATTGTATATATATGTTATGGGATGTCCACATTTCAACACCGGTGGACCATGGGGGGAAGGCTATGGGTTGCTATGGGTTGCTATGGGTTGCTATGGGTTGCTATGGGGTTGCTATGGGTTGCTACCTCCAGGGTAACCTTATGTAACCTTATGTAACCTCCTTGATCATCTTGATCACGCGGAAAAAATGCCAAGCAACTATGGGGCTGATGGCCAACAACATCAGGAGAATCAGCGCATAAACCAGGAGCCAATCCTTGTCCTTGGCGTGGGAAATCGTGGGAAATCCAGCCATTTCAACTGCAAAAACCATGGCTCCACTGGAAAATAAATGTGCCTAGACCCTCCATGTGCCGTTAACAATGGTGTTTTTTCCAATAAAATGGTGTTCAGATCTTTTTGCGGGTGGTATTTGGATGGTCTAGCACCATCATACGTTTGCAACCATGGCTCTTAACCTCGACAATGGGGGTTTCCTGTGCAACCAAACCGTTCAATCACTTCTAAGAATTGCGATGATGCTTGAATCTCGGAAAAGTCACCCCTGGAAAGTATTAAAATTATCATGAAACACTTGTTTTCCAGCCCTTCATAAACCGGGCTCTAATCATAATAATCTCCGGGGTTCATTTTATACACTACAGATGGGTGAGCGTTCACCATGGCTACGAATGGTTTGACTCATTGCTGCATCGCCAAGCAGCTACACCCCTTGAACAATGATTTCAAATATCTATTAATCCTTTAAAAACAAACACGCACACACACACACATATATATATATATGTATATATATATATATATATATATTACATACAATATATATATATATGATTATATATGTGTCTGTGTGTGTTCGATAATACTATATATAAACTTTTTATATTATAATATACTGTATATATATGTATATGATATATATATATATATACAATCAGTATTTTCATCAGTCTCGCTAATTTCTGCTCCACGAATGGGCGGGAAAAACATGTTTGTTGATCCACCTTTTGACGATATGGCCGTGGCCGTTCCATGATCTTTTTCGGACGATCTATGACTTCATTATTTAAGGTTTCACACTTCGAAACGTACACTCTAGATACTCTAGTCAGTAAGTTCTTTGCATACATCTGGATTATTAAATGCTAATTATTACCCACTTACTGACTCATGCTTAATCTTGGATAATTACCTTTGAAACACATTCAAACATGTTAAGAACCAATGCAATTTTACAGTATTTTTTGCTGATTTGACTCATATAGCTTCGTTGGTCAGTGGCAACATATATACTTAGATCAAAATCTTCAAGCGTTTCTCTGCGTTCTCGGTGAGGCCATATATGCCATGGACGGCAAAACTAAACGCTGAAAAAATCATCGAACAAAAGGGTGGATTTTCCAGCAAACCATGTTTGATCACCGCAACCATTGACCGTTCGATTGATGTTTTTCATGGACCCAGCATGACCCAGGACAAGCACCAGTTGACCCCTACGTTGTTTGGCCAACACTAAATTCTCAAGATATCACCCCCGCAAAGGAATGCCGCATCCGCCACAAGAAATTCTCAATTCGGAGCGTACCCAGTCTCGATCATCTGGTTTTTCGAGTCCGTTTATCCCGCATCATGGTTTCCCATACCCTCTGGTAAACATACACAAAACTATGGAAAAACACAATTTTTCATGGAAAATTCCACTATAAATAGCCATTTTCAATAGCTATGTTAGTCATAACCAGAGGGTGTTTTTCTCTCCCAATTCTCTGATGGAACAAAATGAACAAAGTAATCAACGATGGCCAGCTGGGAAATCCTCCGTCTACACGAATGGGGACTTGGAAAAAATCTTCGAGAAGAGACACCATCGATTCACTAGAAGTATGCGCCTTCCCACCTGGCCAGCTTCACCAGGATTTGGTGTTTTACTTTGTCTTTGGATATTATGAATTTGACTATCTTTCCAGGATTTTGCCACATCCATCTTTGGATTCTTGGATATTATTGGCTATTAACTGCGGCATATCCCTTGATACATCCCAATTTACTGGTTTTTGACCCCAAATTGCGCTTGCGAACCACTCATCCGACGTTGGAAATATCTAGCAGATGCACTGCGTTTTGGCGTTTTGGACCCATGGCTGCCCCTCAAAGGCAACAGCCCAACAACATCCAACTACTATATGTCACCCCGATGAATGGGATTCCAAAAATAACGGGTTGCTTTCCTTGAATCCCTATGAGCCTATGAACATGGATTGATGACCATCCATCTGTCTACTCCAACTTGACTATGGTTGGAACTGCGGAGCTAAGACCAGCCAGCTTTGAAATGGCGACCTCAAGCACCAATGGTGTAACTATGTGTAACTAGTCATGGGTTGTGACACTTGCCAGTGATAGGGGTATCCGTTCTCAAATTGGGCAAGCGGTAGATCCTCTGCAAAGAAATTCAGAGCCAAACTCATCGCACCAACAAATAGTTGACAGATTCTACAACATTGCGGAGAGACCAACGGCCTCAAGGGCCCAGATGGATCTTTGTTCCAAACACATGAGACCTTCAACATCCTTCAACGATCAATTCCTATCAATTCCTATTACCCTTTGGTAATTTAACATAGCTATAGAAAATCACAATGTTTAATTGGAAAATCAACTATAAATGGCCATTTTCAATAGCTTTTTGTATGTTTACCAGGCCGGGTATGTTGGGAAACTCCTGTGTCCTGGCTCCAGTCCTGGCCACTGTCGGAAATCTCACTGAAAAAAAGGTGATGTTCCCGGAATCGGTTGGAACGGGAAAAAAATGGATTCCACTGTATCTCGGACCCCCTGAAAAGTGGTTCATTTGTGCAAATAAAAACCATGGTGTCCAGCCAAAACAAAACCCTAAATCATCCTATAATCAATCCCTCGACTCCCAACCTCCAGTATCTCCAGCGGGAGTAAAGTCCGTCGAACTCAAGCCTGACCAGGTCATATCACACTGATAAAGGTGGGTGGAATTTCGCAACAGATCTAGAACATTGGGTAAAGGGATAAAACCACACAGCATGTGGACATATATGGACCATAAACCACTTACCCAATGACTGAACTATTGCCACAAAAAAGTGGTTGAGATATCATCCATTTTAGCTTTGGATGTTCCATTACTGAAATAGGGATACCCCAAATATCCCCAATTCCTCCATTTTAGATGGGGATGTTCCATGATCAACAATCCAGCTATTCAAAAATCTCCATTTTTGGAAACCCCCAGAACTCAAGAACTTGATCTTCTCCCACGCTTCAACAAGGGCCTTCCCAGGGCATCGGGTCGGCGCTGTCCAGAAAATGTAACTCCAAATCATTCCCCACTGATCCCACGGGCGCTGGGACGGCCGGGACCACCACGGAGGGCACTGGAATCGCAGGGCCGGCTGGGGTGGCGCGCAAACCACCCATTTGAAGTAGAGAGGTGGGGTCTGTCTCATCACCTGAGGATCCAAGGGCGATTGAGTCACGTTCTTATAGAATGAATATGTATATATCATATGTATAGGTATTATATCTGGTTGGTGGTTTTAACAATCTTGAAAAATATGAAAGTCAATGAGAAGGACTATCCCATATATTATGGACAATAAAAGATGTTTGAAACCACCAACCAGATATAAATCAAATTTCTGGTGTGGAAAGTATTTTTCCAAGAAATCATGCGAATGCATCCAGCACCATTGATTTGTCTCGGGGTATGGGTGGAAGGTGGGGAGGTGGTTGTGGGGATGATTTCTCGAAGGCATGCAGTCTCTCAGCTGGCTGAATCAGCGTAATAATTAACTGATTAATTTATAACCTGAAAATTGCTTGCTTCAAAAATGCTATTTTGGGTGGGGATGACTCCCCATAAAAAAATACACCGGCAAGAGACCCCAAACAGTTTGGGGGGTAGGAAGTCAATGTACCAGTACAAACAACAGTAGCTATGGAACAGTATGACAAGCACAAGAAGCAACGCTGTGTCTACTCATCAGGACCTCATACCAAAACCTCACACTAGGACATCTCAGAGAGTTTCAAAAGGCCGGCAAAGAAAAGTTTTATACAAGAACTTCCTGTGAGCATCCCAGAAGAATTTCATACAAGTACCAATGCAGAGCATCGTCAAGATCTTAATGCAAGGGACTCTTGAGGCGGCTTTCAACAGGATCGCCACACGATCTTCTCACAAGGACCTGTGCAAGATCATGCAAGGACACCTATAGAGGATGCACCAGGACATCAAGATCTTCTCACAAGGATCTGTACAAGATCGTGTTCCTGCCGCGAAAAATTGACATAGCTAAAACGACACCTTCGGAAGGGCGAGCCTGCGCAATCGCACATGGACAGGGAACTTTTTTGTGCGAGAATGTACAGTGAACAAGCCGCGCCCCAGATGGAGTACCCTGATCTAACCCCGGCCTTTAACACCCCTCAGTTTGGGGAAACAGATACCATCTTTCCACTGACGTCACAATGAGGTCGTTAGAACGTCATCCAAATACATGGACTTGTCCTGCCCCACACACTGGTGGTCATCATAATCATCATGCCACGTAGATGGAATACCTATTATGAAGAAAGATATGGGCAAGCAAGCATGGAGAATCTTGGCGAGCTCCGAATACGTCAAAACTTACATGAAATCATGAAACCTCACGATATGGCTATGGCTATTTCATGGAAGACATGGCAATGAGTCAAAACCTAAATACCCCAGGTAACCAAAAATAGCTGCTTAATGGTTGTAAATTCAAACAATGTGTTGACTCATCAAAAAATAATGTTCATTATATTACATTATGGTTTGCTTCAAAGGATGATCTAGAATCTAAATCAAGAGAAACGCGTGTGGAATCTTTGAGATGATTTTATGTTTCAACACGGGGCTTTGTTGTTGACAAGGCGCGGCAAACGATTCAAGACCCTCGGTAAAATGATGGTTTTTAAGATGATGGCTTTTGCTACTTTGACCCTTGGGGAATCAAATGTGGCTAGCTGGGAAATCCCTTTCTTCAGAAACTCATGGAATAAAATTTAGCAATCGGTGATTTTCCAGCTAGCCACGTTTTTTTGTTTTTCCAGAGGGATCCGGAGGGCAAGTCTGTTTATCGGAATCAGCTCCAGCGCCACCCAAATTCGTTGATCCCATCCCTGTATGCAAATAGAAAAATACATCACAATTCTCCCCATACAAGGTGGTGCCCCCCCAGTTATGTTTGTTGATTTATAATCCCAGTAACTAGATATATCTACCATAAGTCCTATCAATTAGATATAATCCTAGTTATTAAAGTTATAAACCAACTTAGCTATCTTTGGGATTCTCCCAATATGTTCCCCCAAATTCAGGGCCAGTATAACCAGGACCCACAGGACGCGTCACAGGCTTTGTTGGAAACCATTTCTTGCGCGGCTGCGGCCGCGCCAAGCAAACAAATCCATGGAAACGGTTTGGTGAGCATCGTTGGAAACACAACCCCTCGGACCGAACCCCAGAAACGACACCGATCCAAAACCGATGCAAAACATCAACTAAAACGTCGGATACTGTGACATCGAACAAGATACAAGTAGCACATGTTGATGTCTACAATTGTCTACAGATACATTCTTCTATTTATTTCTTTGGCGTCTGCATCTGCTTCGGCTTTCTTTCAGTATCCACTTAAGAAATGAAACATGGGGCCCGTCCCAGGAAGGCGCTGGAGCCAAATTCATCATGGATTTCTTGGCCACTTGGCCCCGTCTTGGGCGATATGGATCCAGAATTCTTTGGTCATTGTTGTGAAACCATCCATTTGGAGTAAGAACGCAAATATGGAGAAACCAAATGATAACTAAGATCACTGATGAACCATGTAAAATGAACCATGTAAATGGACCACGAAGATATAAAACGACTGATTAGTTGACCTATCCAGTTAGTACTTAGATCATTTCGCCACTCGGTCATCCACTGCCAATTGCCTCAGGGGTTCCCTATGGGTTTTTTCATAGGGGACCCATGAAACCCTTGAGAATACGTCAAAACTACCCAGCATTTAATCTGTCAATGAACCATCACCCCATTTTGTTCCTTAAAGGTAGGATCCTCTTGAACACCATGCTGGCTGGGCACCACCTTCCATCGAAGCTCCTGATTCTGCTTCCCTTTCAGTGTTCATAACCTTCCCATATCATATGCTGGATGGCTGATAACCACACACATCCTGTCCTTTTGGGTTTAGATGGATTTGCCACATGCACCACTAAAGGTAAACTTTCATCGGGGGGTATACCAAAACAACCGAGTATGAACTTTTACTGTTTGACTACACTTGTAATATATAATTAAATTATATATGCATATGTATATATATATATATGCCGTAAAACTAAGCCACTAACTTATGCCCAGCCAAGGCTTTTTTGGCACGTGTGTAAAGCTGTCCAAAGCACTACATGCTCGCATGAAGTTCCGAGCCGTGTCGCTTAATCTTTCAGAAGTGACTCCCCTGGACTAAAATGCTCGGCTAAGATAGGCTATATGATGTTGTCATTGAATAGTGAGGTTTTTCGCTGCCTCAGGCTAATCATCATTTTTCCCATGTTTTTCCCGCCATTCTATCTCTAAGACAACCCAGAGTCATAGTGTTGGTTGTGCGAACCGTTACATTTTCCATCATTTTACCATTCCCAGATGCTCCATGTATAGAATATTTACCCACATTTACCACCAAAATGACCCAGTTTTCTAGGTAAATATTCCAGCACCATGGAACATCTGGGATTGATATTCATAGCAAAAACAGAACACACAAATAACATGAAATGAAGCACCAAAAGTATCTAGCCAAGCAATGGTTGACCTGTGATATCCCCATGATATCCCTTCTCCAAGGTTCCCCTGCCGTGGGGAGGGTGGATGCCGCGCATCAGTGGGCTTTTCCACCTCGGGCCTTGGAAAACATGGGGAAACACCGGAAAACCGAAAGACATTGGAAACACCTTCAATGTGAGGCCCCCAAGATTGATGTTTGTTGGTTAACAAAAGCCCCAGTAACTAGTTCGTTATAAGTACCATAAACCATAGTTATTGGAGTTATAAACCAACTTAGCTATCTTGGGGGCCTCAAATTGTTGCAAAAGCTTGGAAAAAACATTGGAAAAATCTTAGACAAAACCTTTGGAAAATCTGTTCAGTCATGGACAACCCGGGGTGAAAACCCATGCAAATGGCACAACCAATGCAAACATGTGAATGTACTAACCCAATCTACCAACAAATCCGGCTGAGGTAATATATAGTTTCCAATTTATTTCACAATTTCCATGGCTAAGTAGGCTCTGAGGAAAAGATCCCTTCCAAGGAACAATTGGGAATACATTTTTTTAAAAAGCCGATTGATTACGCCCACCAGAGTCCACCCACCCAAAAACAGTGCCAATCAGCCAGATACCCTGCCCCCCAAAAAAAACTTAGCTGGTTAGTAGATAATCCCATACCAAAAGACTAGTTAGGATTAGCTTGTACCCATCTAAGATTGACCTAGAAAAAATCCAAATCATCACCGTGTTCCGTGGAAAAGTCGCGACTTTTAGGTCACGACTCAGAGGTCCCCAACAAGGTCAGCGGGAAGAGCTGAGTCGGCTCGCCAGACCTGAGAAATCAACAACTTATGGGATTATCCACTGGATTGGTTTAAGGGAAAATCTACAGGAAACCATGGTTTTTGCCATTAAGATCATGGGGTTTTCCTGTAATTTTCCCGTAAACCAAACCAATGAGATATAGAATGGGATATATGATGCGACATATCATGGGATCGTTTTTAATAAGTAATCATCTACACATAGCTAAATCATCGATAAATTGGTGCCAGATAAACCGCAGGTACAAGGGAGGTAAGTTGGGCAACTATAGAGGCGCAATGACCCATTTTGCACCCCTTGTGGTTATCATCTAACTATATGAGCTGGAGCAAACATGATTGTTCGATATATTTTTATAAATATATATGCCCTCCCTCTAGTAATCAAATGTGGCATAATTAACAATCCACCATAAATCGAGATCTTAAATTTAAAATCATCTATAAATAGTGGAGTCTTCATTGGCGCATTTGACTACAAAAGGGTAATGGGATATCCAATGAAACATGTTATGGGATACACAATGGGATACCTGTCGGGATATGACAAATATTCAACAATGAGAAAATAAGGGGATAAATGCTGGAATACATAATGGGAACATATGGGAACATCATGTGCATAGGACATCATAGAAACAACCATGTGATATATTCTTTATGCTCATCCATCCCGCGATGGGAATTCCCGTATTGATGGATTGACGACAATCCTCCAAATATTCAATGGCCATGACTCAGGAACCGATTGATTGGAGGTACCTACCTTTTTTATTTTTGGCCTATTTCTTAGGCCTAAATTTCAGGGAATATCCCCACAAAATATGGACAAAAATATGGTACAGTACTTCCATTTCTGGCTCCATTGACATATGGGTGTATTAGCCCAGCTTTGCAACCCAACAGCGAAAGGTTCCAGCGAGGTGCCAGGACTGTTCCGGCTTTTTGGGGCGCAAAAATGTGTCACCAGTCCCCGGCAGGTCTAAGAAACTCCATGTGGGAAAATCGGGCACCCACAATTTGATGTTTTGAATGGCTTCAAGTGGGTTTATCAAAAAAATACCCTCTGGTAAACTAGCATAGCTCTTGAAAATGGCCATTTATAGTGGATTTACCTATTAAACATTGTGATTTTCCCATCAGTTACGTAAACGTTTACCAGAGGGTATCAGCATCCAAATCATCTCAAGAAAAGTTCTGCGAGCGCAATTGGGATATCCCCGGTATCCCCTATCTTTTTGTCGTTTGGAAGCAGAAATCTCGGCAAGCGCACGCCGAAGCGGTGGTGGGCCTTGAGGATGGCCTTGGGATCTTCTCCAAGGGGTCGAACTTGGATAGTTATTAGATAGTTATTGTGTTACATTATATTTTAATCTATATCATATTAAATTATACCACAGTACTTTTTTTGTTTCATATATTATATATATATATCAAATTAAACTAAATTACTGTATATGTTATATTATGTTATATTGCATTATATCACACATAATATATATATATATATATATATACATATACGTGTGTGCTCGTCTATTAGATACAGACCCAACATATGCCAAAACATGCTTGGCAACCGGCAGGCAGGCCCCCCCAAGAAAGGTAAATAAAGTTTGAAGCAACAGGAAGGTGTCTGTATGTTGTCTGTTTAATACTTTAATACCAAAACATCATATTTAAAAACAACATGAAGTTGTTTGGGAAAAATGTCCCACATTGCCAAGCAAAAAAAAAATGCCCTGGCGACAAAAAAACGCCCTGACGTCCCGGGCTGAGCATCTCGAGACTCTGACCTTATTCTTCAGTTGGATCAGGGGACCCGTTGCTTGACAAAAACAAATCATTAAGCGTCATTAACTCCTTGATAATCCAGTTTGGAAACCATGATTTGGTATTGAATAGGTCCTGTTGAAACATTTTCTGGGTGAGTGCTTCAGCTAGAGAACTTGGAATCTTCCAAGAACAAATAGGGGCTTCACCGGCGGATTTCACGAGGTATCTTGTGGTCTTGTGGTAGAATGTTTGGACCAAGTAGTTGGGTTGCTGAATAGGACAACTTGCTGGAAACCGACAGTGTTTTCTTACCATCAAATATGGGTGAGGGAGGTCTGTTTTTTTGTTGTTTAACTATGTTTTGGAACCCCATGCCAAACATTTGGCCAACTGATTTTCAATAGATGTATTTCAAGATGATCTAAAGAACCCAAGCTGTCCGAATTGCCGCACTCTTGGCCTCCCCAAACGGATACAATTTCAAAATTGGGTTTCTACACTTGAATTCAGCTCGAGCTGAATCCACCAAAATTTTGAACATTGACAAAATCACCGGTGGGGTTTCACCATGGTCAGAGGCAGATTGAGGTCCTGAAGCACCCTGAAGGCATCTGACGTTGGGCAGCCGAAGGCTAAACATCATGGACAAGCACGATGTAGCCAGAGTTGGTCAGCTAGGTCAGCTGGAAGCATCCCGAAAGACACTGTGATCCATCATGAATTTCTCTAAGACTCTAAGCAACCCAACCACGATTCGAACGATCCAAGCTCGCTCGCTCCAATTGTTGGAGCCTACCGGAGGTATGATGCACCTGGTAACACCTTTTCTGTTGGGTGGCGGTGTCGAACCATCCACTCCAACCTTGAAGTTGCGAGCGAAAGATCCATGTTGGTTTCTTACAATTAGCTGCGCATGGGTTGCACTGATGCCCTGGAATCACCAAGATTGGCCGACGCTCTGCTCCCAGAGCGAGGAAGCCAAAAGGGGCATCGGCGGCATCGGCAATCGCTGTTTGGGGAATGTCCAGGTTTGGTAAGCCACTCTCCGCACTCCATTCGGAAAAATCCTGGCTGCTTGTATTGTGTAGCGTGAAGCTATGTGCTCCAACCCGAGGGATCACGTTGTAGGTCTCCAAGAGAGAGGTTTCACGCAAGGTTTCGCAGGAAGGAGAAGCCACCCCTCACTTAAACCACCCATACATACACACATACATGACATACATTACATTGCAACACAATACAATACAACTTACACTGCATTACATTACATGACATTTCATTACGCAATGTTCACATGGCGTTAATAAACCCCCCCGCAATAAAGTACGCCAACTCCCGGTTCACAATAATAAAACCCCCCCGCAATAAAGTACGCCAACCTTTTTTTTTCCCGTTTTTTTTCCGTTTTTTCCCTTTAGTATTCGTTTTCAATTAGGCAATTCATTTGGGAATACATAGGTGATTTTATTTTTTGGAGGGAAAGTTCCCTTATGTATTCGTTTTCAATTAGGCAATTCATTTGGGAATAGATAGGTGGTTTTATTTTTTGGAGGGAAAGTTCCCTTATGTATTCGTTTTCAATTAGGCAATTCATTCGGGAATAGATAGGTGATTTGTTTTTTTGGAAAAGTTCTAAAGTGCAAAAAAATCAACAAGGCTCAAATGGTCGATTTCCTTACTAAACCCTTTCAAGAAAGTTCACTTTATGTATGTGTTTTCAATTAGGCAATTCATTTGTGAATACTAAAGTTCCAAGAAAGTTCACTTCATGCATTCGTTTTCAATTAGGCAATTCATTTGTGAATACTAAAGTTCCAAGAAAGTTCACTTTATGTATTCGTTTTCAATTAGGCAATTCATTTGTGAATGCTAAAGTTCCAAGAAAGTTCACTGTATGTATTCGTTTTCAATTAGACAATTAAATTCATTTGGGAATACGTAGGTGATTTTTTGTTTTTGTGGAAAGTTCCCTTTATGTAATCGTTTTCAATTAGGCAATTCATTTGGGAATACATAGGTGTTTTTTTTTGGAAAGTTCCTTTTATGTAATCGCTTTCAATTAGGCAATTCATTTGGGAATACATACGTGTTTTTTTTTGGGGGGGGGGAAGTTCCCTTATGTATTCGTTTTCAATTAGGCAATTCATTTGGGATTACATAGATGTTTTTTTTGGAAAGTTCCCTTATGTATTCGTTTTCAATTAGGCAATTCATTTGGGAATACATAGGTGATTTTTACGATAGTTGAATGTTTGGCCCTAACTTTATTCTGATGCTCTTAATGTTTGGGGGGGAAAGGGGGGGTTTATTAATACGATGTTGACATTACATACTAACATAACATAAACATAAACATAACACAAGTTAACATAACATAAAATACCATAATAATACATAATATCACACACCAAGACATTACATTACAACAAATTACCAACACATTTACATATCAAACCATTACAGGACAAAATATTACATTGGATAACAGCACACAACATAACAACACATTACGCACAACAAATAACATGACAAAACATAAACATTGCATTACATTCCGCTACAATACACTCTAATTACACTTAAATACATTACATTACATTACATACCATAAGATACCATAACATACCATAAAATGCAATAACATACCATAACAAACCATACAATACCATGCCATACCATGAACACATTACATTACCTTGCGTTACATTGCATACATTGCATTACATTGCGTTACATTGCGTTACATTGCATTACAACACATTACATTGACATGCATATATGTGTGTATTTCATATACGCCACGATGCCATCATTATATCCCTATTATGACCCCGCATTAACTATTATTTTATCACCAGCACATGTTTAACAATGTCAGCCCTGGATCAATAGACTCTATTGATGAGCTAGGTGGTTGTGCCCAAAATAGTGATACATTAGTGCGAAAATTGCCGACAGACCCCCATTGATTACATGGTAGCATATGGTAGTTGATGAATCCTGCATGGCCATACCGGCCATACCTCAACTACTAACTCGACCCAGCATGTTTGGGGGGATGCTATCCGGGCAGGCACCGCTGTCCACCACACTGGTCGGCAAATCAATATCACTAACATGAATTACAATAATCCCTCATCATCCCTCTATATTAACCAGTGACAGAGTGGTGCCCCCCTTGATGTTTCTTGGTCAAGAGAAGCATTAGACAATTCGGTAAATCAGCCATAAACATCCGTGAGCCAACTTTGCTGGGCCGCACCTCCTTTTGCTGGAACATCCCAGCCCCTGTTCATGTTGAACACCTCTCAGAAACCATGGTGGACGTACATAGGATATTTACCCTCCGGGAATCAAGCATGGCTTGCTGGAAAATCACCTATTTAGTTCGATGATTTTCCCAGGTCCCATTGAAACAAACATCCATATATATATATAGATGGGATTTCCAATTGCGACCACATTTGATTACCAAAGGGTATCTGAGACCTATTTACCATTATATATATATACACACCTATTTATATACATACAATACATATATACATATATATTTTTGATGCCAATGTATCTGGAACCAATTTATAACTTATGGATTGTTTACTATTTAAACACATTATCTACCGTTCCCGCTGATGTTCCATAGCTATGTGAAAAAATGTGCCCAAACATGTCAAAGAGCTGCGGCTGTTTCATATACCCTCTTGTAATTTAACATATAGCTGCTGAAATTGGCCCATTTAGTTCGTTGATTTACCTACTTAAAGATGGCGATTTTCCATAGCCATGTTAGTTGACCAGAGGGTAAACCATGATTGCATCGGGGATGGGAGCCCCTGATCTCAGCTTCCCGACGGTGCCAACGGTCCCGACGGTCCCGTGGTCTCGGGTCGACTTGGCTCCGCCTGCGAAGTCTGTGAAGGCTGTGGCACCTGTGGCGCCGGTGTCCACAAACTCAATGGAAGTTGGCTGGAACAGCATCGAACGACATGGGTGGTTTTCCAGCTGATCAAAACTGGTAAAGCGGAGATTTTGTTGAACATCATCAAAGTGAATGATTATAAATGGTGGGTTTGACGCTTTCCTTGTTTGATTATGAATTTGTGGGAGGGTAATTAGCGGATTATGAGCGGTAATCCCGTCAACTCAGATGATAAATGTTTCATATTATATCTCCATGGCAGGCCAATGACATCCCCATTATCTTTTGTTTCAACCCATCTGGTAAAAATCGCCAGTTAAGATCATAATTTTATTTCCCGGGTTGGAAGTTGGAAACAAACATATTTTAAACCAGCAACCATGGTTCCTGAAATCCATCATAGTTAAGGGCACATCGATATATCGAATTCTCTTTCTGGTGCTTAAAAACCAACTCAGAATAGCTGACCCCCATATATATATATATATTTATTTACCATAAAATATAGATATAATCAATATATAGTTCGGCATACTTGACCACAACCCAATCATAAACAAGAGAATGTGGTAAACCCACTAATTATAAACCGTCCCCAAGTACCCCCAAGTCATAACAATTTTGATGGGTTGTAAAAAAACATTCCCAAGAGGTAGCTTTATGGCATTGGTGTTGCCGCATTAAGCAGCCATGTTATAACAAAAATCAACCATTGGTGGTTAGTTGAACCCCTATTATTGTGGGATTAATCAATATTTTTCTTGGTCACCTCTATTCATGAGTCGTTGATTGCATACGTACTGTTATTCATTCCATAGATATTTGGTTGTTTATACTTTTTTTTTAAACCAAACCATAATTACCATAAACAACCAGTTCATATCATTCTTCGATATGATAATTTGGTACCAATCCACACTATTTAAAATTCCACCATCAATAGGTAGGACACGGTGTCAGCATCCAGTCATCCGATTGGACTCGGGCCACCATGTCAAATCTTAAAGTTTCACCTTGGGTGTTTTGAACATCAAACATCAAAAAACCCAATGTTACCATCTGGTACTTTAACAGTTTGCCATGGAAAATCACCATTTTTAATACGTAAACCATCTATTTCTATGGGCCATTTCCCATGGCTATGTTAAATGACCAGAGGGTAAATATCTCCAAAGCCACTACTGGTATAACTGGTATCATGTTCAATCATGGCTGAAATAACCACCACTGGATGCGCCTTCTTCACAGTCTGCCGCGGCCGCGTCAGGGGCGCCGACGCCGAGCCGCTCAGGGCGGGCGCGGTGACGGGAGTGGAGGCGCTGATCTCTGCGCCCAGCGACGCTACGGAGAAGGTGGCCCTGCCGATTCCATGCAGGATGGAGCCCGCAAGATAGCGTTCAGTTGCCTTAAAAGTGGCTTAACATATGAGATGTAACTATAGCTAATGGAGTTTATAAACTACCTTATAACTGGGGGCGCCCCACATTGTGGGATTCCCCACCATTTTTGGGGATAAAGCTGGGAGATCTTTGTTAGGATGATATGATGATATATGGATGTCTATCTCAAATATTTGTGTTTTTGCATGGTTTTGATCACCATTATCACCATCGTGATCTTTTTTGGGCGGGTTCTCGAAATGTGTAAGGGAAAATGTGGTGGGCGAAAAAAACAAAGCCATTGGTTTTTCCGAGGGTTTAAACTAAGAGTGACAAATCTTGGCTGATATTCAACCAAGATTTCGACTTACACACACAGGCCAAAAAAGTTTTTTGTAACTTTTAGCATGTCTATCAAAGATACAAACATTGTTGAAATCCAATACTTAACTAATTAGTACAGGTAGCATTTTGGAGGGTGCTATATCTACTTATATACATGGTTTACCTGTCTGTACATATGCATGAGGCATATTCCTGTATATAGCTGGGGGTATTTCATGTGCAACTAGGTTGTAGGATGGTTGACCAAACATCCAGCTATTGGTCGAGGTTCCGAATGGTTCCAAGATGTTCCAAGAATGTGGATGTAAGACGACTTGTTTCTTTCATTCACCGGGAAAGGGACATCAAGAAATGATGTATCCCAATGGTTCGGGTGGCACTTGGCGGGACCGAGTTCGAGACGAAGTTCAACCCTTCAGGGATCAGAAGGCCATGGAGTCATGGAGAGCACAAGAAAATCACTTGACCAAGGCATGGCAGAAAAGAAACGGTCTCGGATAATTACAATCATATCCCATAGGATCCATGTATGGCATATAATATGCTAACATTGGGGGTCTATTGATGGTAAATGTTACCACATATAGCATACATGGATCCTATGGGTATTATTAAAATGTATTGAATCTCATTTGCCAACAGCTAAAAGAAGACAGTACGTTCACCCACCAGTCTATGGTTGACCTAGGAATTGATCATCTGCCTCGCATGGGGTTTCCTTTGGTTTCCCGGCGAAAAGGGCCGATTGTTCTTGTCCAAAGCTGCCCTTGGTCATGGATGATTGGAAGAAGCGGGCGATGGCGAAAACATGAAGACTAGGAATACATCAAGAGACACCTGATGCTAAATTTGCTAAATATACCTCCAGCAGGCATGTGGCATTACGGCGTTGATGAACATCCTGATTTTCGGTGATTTCCCATGCGGGAAACGGTGCTCACTGGAGGGTAGAAGACCTGAGACCAACGACTTCATGAATGACTTCATGCATGACTTCCATATAGCCGCAACACCCGCGAAAATCCACCAAAAAAGTCATCCAGCAACCTCAGTTTCTTTTGCAAGTGGAGAACAATAGTATGTAGCTGGAGTGACAATGAACAGCCCATGTAATGCATTTGGGCCATCGATGTCTTCTACAGTCATTACACAGCTACATGCTGGTGAATATTCTTGGATTTGCTGTTTGGGGGGCCACACAAAAGATTCCAAATAGGTTCCCCAATGGTAAAGGAATAAACGGAAAAGCAGCACGTATATAACATTCAGAAAATCAAGAGCTTGTCAGTGGTACCCAAGTGCAAGCGGGCCTATCACCCATCCAACTATAGAACGCTATAGGCTATAAATGCTTCGTTACAGCCTCGGGCCCCTGCTTGTGGGGTGGGTTGCCGCAACAGTTTCGCCATTGGACGTGACGATTTAACACCAACAAAACTTGGGATTTCTACGGTAACTAAAGATTGGGTATACAACTGTGATTTCTTTCCGGCCAAAAATTGGGAAGAACCACCAGTTTCACTAGTCTGGTAATTTAGCATGTTTTATGGAAAACCGCCATATTTATATACTGTAATCAGAAAATCACCTACTCCCATGGGCAAACTATACCAAAGCTGTGTTGGATTACCAAAGGGTGTGCTACTTGGGGGTGGCAGTTCCACTATAATCACTATAGGGATTGTATCCCAACTTACGGAGGTTCATTCTTACCATGGTTATACCGGCGAATAACCCCAAGTACACCAAGCAAGTAAATTCAGCAAAAAACAACCGTAACGTTACATACCCAGTACATCCGGATAAAATGGATCAGTATGGATCAGTTCATCCCCGTTTGTTACCCCGTGGTAATTTAACTTATCTACAATGTGGCACCCCCCAAATATAAAATGGTTCAGAAAGTTTATAGACCCCATTAACTAGACCCTACTAACTATACTTATAAGATGTTTCAGGTATCATAAACCATAGCTATTGGAGTTATTTGCACCAACTTAGCTATCGTTTGGGAGCCCCACATTGTATGGATTTCAACGCCTCTATGGGCCATCTAAACACCAATGGAGCGGCATCGGCCGACATCGCCAAAGGGACGAGATGGGTCGACTGTTTTCATTCTTCAGCCTTTGGAATGAATGGGATGGGAAACCCCGGTCAGGCAACATCCAATAGCCATATCATCCATGAAAGTAGTTTATATATATATATACACATAGATATATAGTGTATGTATGTATGTATGTATGTATATATATATATATCCCTCTCTCTCTTTCTTTCTTGTATATATTGTACCTGTGTGATAGGTAAGGGCATAATGATACGTAGGTACACAATATAAGTAAGCATAAAGAAAATTATAGGTGATCATGTAGAGTAACTATATAGTAGGCCATCTGTATGTGTAGTAAATTAGAATCGGCAAGTTCAAAAAAATGATTCAGGACGGTTTTAGCCGGAATTGAAATGTCTATCTTTTTGGTGGTAGCCCAAACAGGGTATAATCATAAGAAATCATGGTGAACCATTAAAGCATTTATTGGTGGACGTATAGAGTGCTACAAACTGGAAAATAAGTGGATAATGACGTGTATCACATTGATAAGAAGCAATATAGCAATGTTCATCCGGACGCAGATTGAAATTACCAGTCGGAAAAATGCAAATGAGGTCACCATCATCAACTAAGCCCTAATGATAATGTTGTGATATGTTGTGAAGATTTTCCCCAACTTTTGACCTAAACAAGCACATTATATAAATTGACATACCCAACCCCTCAATTTCTTCGCTGGGGCTCACCATCCTAAAGCACAATGTGTTGGATGCAAAAACTCATGTCGTTCATTAAATCACCCATCCAAACGATCTTCAGTTCCCCGTGCTTGATGCTGAAATCCCCATGTTTGTCGCTTAAATCACCAGGCTCATTACATGCTCAATCTTTGATAGTCCCCAAACAAATCGACAATCTTTTTCTGGTTGGCTGGTGATGTTTCAATTTTTCGCCAAAAACTGAAGGGTTAGTTTCTACACAATCCCCAAAATCTCATCACTTCCAGGAGCCCCTCCAGGACTCCCTGCGATGCGCGCACATCAGGCTTCGACTGGGCGGAGAACTGGGAATGGAACCATTCAACATCTTATGCAGGAAAATCATAAATTTAAAAAGATTCTCTAACGTGAGATGATCGAAGGAAGTTTAGAAGTCAGACTTCCGACAATATGGACAAATGGAAAAGCAGAGGTGGGAAGAGTCAGAGAAGAGAAGACAAGAGAAGACAAGAGAAGACAAGAGAAGAGAAGACAACAGAAGAGAAGAGAAGAGAAGAGAAGAGAAGAGAAGAGAAGAGAAGAGAAGAAGAGAGAAGATCAAAGAAGAGAAAGAGTCAGAAGAAAGAGTCAGAAGAAAGAGCCAGAAGAAAGAAGATCCAGGTGCGCAGAAAGGTAGGAAAGTCGCGAAACACTGCGTTTTTCAATGATCTGTGGCCCTGGAGGGTCGAAAAGTAGGCTCGCTAAAGCGGTGGGTGCGGAGCAATCTGGCCAGATGAGAGATGAAAAATTGCACGCTGTTGTGGTAAAAACCACATTTCGAAGTCAAAATGTACAAAACACCTCAGCTTCGGACCACTTTTGGAAGTGGAGATGTCGAAAAAGTGCACGCCGTTGTGGCGCGAAGCACATTTCAAAGTCAAAATGTACAAAGCACACCATTCTCAGACCACTTTTGGAAGTTGAGATGTTGAAAAAGTGCACGCCGTTTTGGCGCGAAGCACATTTCGAAGTCAAAATGTACAAAGCACACCACGTTCAAAGCACTTTTGGACGTTCAGATGTCGTTTCGCGTGGCCGGCGCAAGGGATTGTGCACCTTGTTTAAAGTGAGCAAAACGTGAAGGTTTTCTATCATTTCCAAAAACGCTGGCAAGCGTGGGACATTTGAAGAGGATCTGGAAAGATGTATTTTCGGCAGGCGCAGTACAAGAGACATGTTCATCAGAGATGTTAGGAGGTCAGGGCGCTGATTTCCTGAGAAAGGTTGCGTTTTGGAGCATCAGATCTTCAGTTTTGGGAAGATGATTTTGTGTGACAGGTGCACACTTTGTATGACCTAGCATCACTTTTTTTCTTGGCAGGCGCAATACTTCAGAGACATGGACTGGAAAAATCGCAAAACACATTGGCACGAGGCCATCAGCTCTGCATTCGACTTTCCATTATTGAAGGAGGTCTTGCAGAATTGCTTTGTTTTTGATGTTGCCAACTTCAAAAATTGAGGAAGTCTTGCAGAATTGCTTCCTTTTTGACGTTATCAAGTTCAAAAATTGAGGAAGTCTCGCAGAATTGCTTCGTTTTTGATGTTGCCAACTTCAAAAATTGAGGATGTATCGCAGAATTGCTTCCTTTTTGACGTTATCAAGTTCAAAAAATGAGGACGTCTCGCAGAATTGCTTCTTTTTCAAGCTTGCAGATTGCAGATAGACAGATAGATAGATAGATAGATAGATAGACAACAACTACTGCAGCTACCACTACACTACACTACTGCTACAGCTGCAAATACAAATATAAACTACGTTACATTACACTGCACTAATTATACTACACTACGCTACACTAAATAATTGCATCTAATCACGCTACACTAATTACACTACAACTACCACAGCTACTACTAGCACAGCTACAACAACAATATCAACTACACCACATTACACTACACTGCATTAATTACACTGCAGCACACTACAACTACAAATGCAAATGCAACTACAACTACATTACATTACGCTACACTACACTAATTACATTACATTACGCTGCAGCTACAGCAACAACTGTAACTGCAACTACACTTGTAACTACCACTAAATTGCACTACACGACGCTACACTAATTACACGACACCACACTACAAACTAGGAACCCGGCGCATAGACGGCCGTGGCTCAAAATGAGGATTGAGTATCATCCAGCATTGATTTTCTATGCGTTTGGAGAGGATTTCTCAAGTCTCGGGTGTATACACATTCCGTGGCTGAATTCCATTCGGAAGTTAGCAAACTGGTGTTTTCGCCTCAGGGAAACTATAATTTTCATGCTTTTTTGAAATGACGTAACTACTTTGTCTATGCAAGGACTTGTTTCTTTTTTTCTTCATCTGATGGCATCAATCCTGCGGCAGCAGGTCCTCCAAGTGTTCCAAGAATTCGCTCGGGCTCACATGTGTACGCAAGGTACATGAACGTTAATATCCCCCCCCACCCCACCCAACCCCCATATAGCTAAAATATGTATTTCGGTCCACGGCCGTCTATGCGCCGGGTACCAACTACAACTACGCTACCTTACGCTCACTACACTAGACTACACTACAATATACCACACTACAGTACGCAACACTACAATACACTACAATACACTACAGTAATCACACCACACCACAACTACAACTACAACTGCAACTACATTTCACTTATTACACATTACAATCACAACTCCAACACACCACACTACAACTACAACCACAACTGCACTACACCACACTACATGCAGTAGTTGTGGGTGAGGTGACCACTGCAACCATTGCAACCACTCCAAAAGCACAACTTCAACATACTTCAACCACCTTTCGGTCCATCAGTGGATTCGCTCTGCCATCCGTGATTCACAACAACCAACCTCTCCTATAGGTTTCCTATTTTTGACACTTCCGCCACCGCCTTGTGCTGTACTACTGGTACATACGATGAATCATATTAATGACTTCCGATATTCTGATAATTATTTTTTAAATAATCATCAACCATTATACATTTACCATTTTCCGGGTAAATATTAAAAATCAAAACCTTACGGTCGCAGTGGGGTCGTTATAATTAACCAAAACATCATGTATTTTAGCACAGAAGCTTCCCGATATGAACCACGGTTCGACCAAAATTAAATAGATCCAGGAGCTAAACCAGGCTTTTGTGTGGGTATTCCATGGTATTTCATATTGGGAATGGATGAGTCGTCATGTCTTTCACATGTCGGCGCCTTGCGAATGAGATCCACGGCGCGTTTGAACTTCATGATGCTTGGCCGCCTTGGCCAAGCCAAAAGGGAACTTAAGAGGACTTGATGACTTAGCGAACTGGTGATCATTGATGGTGTCCTACTCTGGTGATTTTCCATGTTTTTCCACTAAAAAATGGTGCAGTGATGTTCCATGCTTTTCCACTCAAAAATGGTGATTTTCCATTTTTTTTCCCATGTGTCCAAGTGCCAAATACGTCCAAATACCATCTATTTTTGGGCTCACCTGACTTTGGGTGAATCCTGTCTTAGCACTGTATCAAGGGTTCTCATGGAGATTCCAGACCGAAACGACTGCCAAGCCGTCAGCCGAGGTCCATGAGTAAACTTCACCAACTTCCATGTAGGCTGGCGTGGACGTTTCAAACGGTATCAGAAGCCCCTCTCACTCTATCCCCATGTTAGTCTTAACACAACGTTTGAAGCCTAAACTAGACTCATTAGACGCAGTAAATTTCTATCTTTCATTATTTCAACCAATTTGTGTTGATGATTTGATGTTTAAATCATGTAAAATCTCAATTTTGGCTGCTTAATCGATATTTGAATTGTTGACCCCTGAAAGACCTAACTTCGACACATCGACACATGGGCCCCCAACTGGTTTGAGGAGTCTTTCGAGGAGTCTTTTGAAGAGGCGTCTTTGGCGGAAGCATCTTTGGAGGATTGCTGCATCCTCAGTTGCGCAACAGATTTACTCCCATTTGGATGATCTTAAAATGCAGCCATGGCTTAGTTAGGGTTATGAGACTTATGGCATAAGACATGGGACTTATAATTGCCATATTTGGATGTGGAAAAATAAGACCTTAGAGATATGAAAAAGTCTCCTGGATGGTGGGCACAGACGTGAATGGATTCATGGTACGCTACTGGCACGCTTATGGACCCCCTTATCATGGGGAAGCGAAAGGATTGCAACCCAGCTAATCCCATGGCTCATCTCAACTAGTTTGCTGGGGGATGAAGTGAGATGATGCTATGATTTTATGAACTTAAACAATCCCACCCTCTTACTACTAAGCAGCACCGAATAAATATAGAACACAAAATCAATCCAGCCAATGCCAAGATTTTCCGGAAAGTCTTCTAAGTAGCACCTACTAGTAGGAAATATCTTCGGGGGCCCTGCTTTTAGTACAATGTTACTATTCGTCTTAGTGGTATATAGTGATGTTTACATTATTACCAAACTATTCTTGAGGATGGTTACGGTTAGCCAATGTTAGCCATAAAGCAAGCAAACCGTCCCCAATTTTACCATTAGCGCAATACCATTCTTAGTGGTCCCAAGGCCCCGGAGCATGTCGCCCCAAATTTGAAGTGACCATACTTAAAATGCTACTGAATTGGAAACCCAAATTTGGGAAATTGAAAATTATAGCAAATTATAGCTACTGTACTTATAGCAAATGGTATTAATGTGACGAACCCAATCACAAACCATCCCAACACTATAAACATACCATGTGGGACGGTTTATAGCATCCATTTATGGTGATCTTGGGGATCGTTTATGATTGGGTTTGCCACATTACATGGTCCGGTCAATTTCAATAAATTCATGAGGCTAGTCCCAGCTTACATAATTAAATTCGAAAACGGAGGTTTCTACAACCCCAAACATGTGCTTTCCATCATCTTAAATAGGACGGGGAATTGAAACTCGATATTCAAAACGAGTTTGTGATAAGTGGATATAAGTGGGATAAGTACTCTGCGATTCTATGCCATTTTCGAACTGACTTTGAAATACTAAAGACTACAACCACCAGCCTTGCAGAAAGGGCGAAACGGCGAAACGGAACACGCCAAGCAGCAGCTGAAGTTGCTGCAAATAGTTAGAGCCAGCCTGATGCCAAGTGTCCAGGCAGATGAGCATGATTGGAACACATGGTGTGTACAACGGCTTGCTGCTCGGGATAGGCATCGATATTTCCAGTGACCATGCTCGGTCAAGTTCAGAATTAAACACATCAAGAAAGATGCTGCTTAAACACCAGGAGTGCGGTAACATAGACATAGATTCAAAATGATTCAGACATGCCAAGCATAGATTGCCGAGCATGGAAGCCAATGTATGCACCACTTCCAATGAATCCCTGCTATCCCAGCTGTTCTGGGGTACTGGATGGTAATGGCATGATGTCAAATGACACTCTCTTATTGTTGGCCACAGGTTTATCACATTAGTCATGTCTAATCTACTGATGCAGCATCACCTACTATCACGGTCCATGATTATTCCACAATCAGAAATGCAGGATATTGGGGGTTCCTTTTACATCGTGCTGCCAACAACCATCATGTTGGTTTTACTTCAGGGCAAGGAAAAAAAAACAATATTCCAAACCCTTGGGTTGACCAAATGAAAAATGATCATCAGAACGGAGGCTAAGCGATGATCTCAAAGTAGGTGAAATAGTAGGTGGTTCCAACTTCCAACAGCAGATTACAATAGATTATATATATTTACTCTTCAGTGCCAGCTTCTCCACCAGTCATTTTATCCGCCGTTCATCAGCTCTGTTTGGTCCAAACACATCATTATCCATCTTCAAACTACTTCACCACTATCAAGTGAGGGTTCAAAACCATCCGTTGACAAGATGATGCAGGGATTCTCTCTGCAGGACAGACCGGAAAAAAATGAGGTGCCCTTGACTAGATTCATGGTCGCTGCGCTGCTCAGATATGCCAGCGCCAATTCTGACGCCTCATCACACATGGCCTCCAGAACCACTGGGTATAATTTGCCGTTTTTTTTTGAACGAAAGCCAGGCCCCCATTCAGCCGTGGATCCTTCACTATCATCGAATGCAGCTTATGAGGGGAAATGCCTGCATACTCATCATACTCCTCCATCTCGTCCACGGTTCGAATTTCTACTCCGCAAAGCGTAGCCTGGGAGGCGAGCGCTTGAGCTATCTTGGATTCTGCAGCCGAGCCTGCCTGGCAGGTTTTCTAGCACACCTCCCACTGGCTTGTTGGTCATGAATGAATCCTCGCCATCAGAAGATGCCCGGGATATTGACGGTGCACCTGCTGAGGCTGCTCATGGTCATGTAGTTGCACTTATAATGCCTAGCCTCGAGGATTCTCCGATTGTTCCACTTCTGTATATACGATCCAGTCCGAGGGATGCCCTGAGCTTTGGCAGAGCACAAACTGATGCTTCCGATTTGCATCGCCGCCAGGGGTTCTAACGGAACAGCCACCTGGGAGAACAAATACAGAGTAAATGAGAGCGGACAATGTTTTGATTTCAACACCTGCGCATGCAAAGCCTTGCCAAATCCAATTCCAAATCTCAATAGTGTAACATCACCTTTGGCATGGCTCAATCTGTCAGCGAGACTGTCATTGCCCACAAAATGCTGTCTCACTGGAATTGTTTGTTGCATTTTGGCATTTGCAGCATCTTTCTCAGAAAGGCAACGGAAGTGAACGCAACTAAATTTGTTGTCATAAAAAGAACAAAGGTAAACCAAGAAAAACATGGAAAAACAGAAAACTCAGAGGACAGAAAACGGCGGAAAAGGGCGGGAAGACCGCGGAAAAGGACGGACTCTGAAAATGGAGGTCCAAGTCTTGCCGGAAACATGTCCAAAAGGTTTTATCACGGATTGTGATTCTTCTAGTTTTTGTTCCTGTTGTGAAACTTTGTTGAAAGCTGCAATCCAAGTGACTCAATGTCGATGTAAGCCAACACTTGAAATGTGCAACAATGAAAACATGTATAGCGACGGACAATTACTTAGAACGTTTTTGTTTTTCCACATTGCTTTTTCTACTTAGAACGTAGGCATAAAGCAACACTTAGAACATAGGCATATGTTCAACACTTAGAACATCACCCAACACTTAGAACATAGGGGCCAATTCAACACTTAGAACCTTCCAAGTAGTTGTCCGTCGCATGTGTATGAATAAATAACATTCGATATGCATACGCTTGGGTACGTTCTAAGTGTTAAATCTTGGGCACATTCTAAGTGATGAATTGATTCCCACCATGTTCTAAGTGATGTAACTTCTCATGGTCTAAATGTGACACTAAGAACGTCCTTCCAGCTCTAATGAACAAACACTTTTTTCCAAAATACGTTCTAAGTCATTGTTCTTCACTATATGCTGTACTGTAAGGTTTGTTTTCTGCATTGTTTTTCTTGCAGCATTTATTACATATGGAAATCATGGGGAGTCCACGAGATTTTTAGCCTCGGCATGAGGCACAACCGTTTTTGCCTTTGGTGTTTCTAGGTATATCATATTGGTTAGTATAATATAGCATAGTCCCCTACAACAATCTATATTCAGTAACTTGCACATAGAATAAAATCTCTATGAATAATTTATAATAATGGTTATTTAATCTATAATAATATATCTGCTGGTTATAGCACAGATCTGTTAGATTCTAGGAGCTATCTATAACTATCTGCTGGTTACTTAATCTACAATAATCAAGCAACAAGGCGCTGCTCACGCTGCTCGCGCTGATCACTGACCTGTGAGGGATCGTAGCGCTCACCCTTGGGCAGAGGTCGCGCGTGCCTTGGATCGATGGTTCTCCTGTCAAAATGGGGATTTGAATGGGACAATGATCAAACTGTAAACAAATTTAGGCTAGATCACAGATGTAATTAAAAAGAAATCATCAAAGAAATGAGAATATATATATATATACATACATACATACATATATATATATATGTGTGTGTTTGAAATTCCCATGTTCTATTTATACTCCAGGATGATTGGAAATAAAGATTCTCCAGAAAAGATGGTTTGATCACGAGAGGCGACAGAGGCGGGTCGATTCACGACTCTTTCAGGCACCCAACAGATGAGTGAATGAACCAATGAATGTTCACCATGGTTCACCCCTAAAAGTAGCTTATAGTGTTTAATGGTGATTTTATTGTGATTTAATGATGATTAATGATGGTTAATAATGACTGGTTGGTGGTTTCAACCCTACCCCTCTGAAAAATATGACTTCGTCAGTTGGGATGATGACATTCCCAATATTCCCAATATATGGAACTTAAAAGCCATGTTCCAAACCACCAACCAGGGAATGAACATAGAGAGGGCTTGAATCAATGAATCATGAACATGCGCCATGGGGTTTGCTCAACAAATTGGGATTTAGACCTAACAAATGAGATATCTGACATGATTCAAGCATATTAAACAATATTTAAAAACAAAACAACCATACAGGGGAATGTAATGGCATATCATCCCAATACTATGTGCCCTCAAGTAATAACCCTTGTTTACATAGGAGAAAAAAACAGAAACAGCAATCAGTTGCAAAAGCGACGATTTTCACCAGTGAGTCGTATGGCTTACCGGCTTGTCTCAATTCCCTCCAGGTTTCTTTGCTCATTCCATAAATTTATTTCATAGATCTTAATTGGATATTGTATGATATTGATTGATATTGATTGAATTCTGAATTCTATTTAATTTTGCTCTACAGCTCCAAATACCTTCTCAGACTGCATTTGGAATTTCCTTTTAGGGTCTAAACACCTTCTCAGAAGGGATTTGGAGCACTGGTATTGTATAAATTCGTAAATCCCACTGGCTATTTGATATTTAACATAGCTATGGAAAATGGTCCATGTCTAGGTTATTTATGATGTTTTACCAATTTACCTATCAAAAATTGTGATTTTCCATAGTTACCTTAACTGGTTGGTGGTACACCTACCCCTCTAAAAAATATTAATCGAAGGATTATACCACATATTCTGGGGAAAAAATGTTTTGAAACCACCAACCAATTGAATAACCAATGGCAAACCCACTATAAATGGCCATTTTCAATAGCTATGTTAGTATACCAAAGGGTATAATAGTATATTCCTCCATTTGGTCAACCCCACATGAATCCACAGAGATCCTCTAGGTCCGCTAGGTCTCCACAGGTCTCCACACGGCGGCACGTAGCGCAAGGCCGGACCATCCCCTGTGGGGTGGGCTTCAAAAAGGCATGGGACTCAATCGATTCAAGGCTTTAATGAAAAACAAACATTCCCGTATCTGGTTGGTGGTTTCAACCCTACCCCTCTGAAAAATGATGGAGTGAAAGTCAGTTGGGATGATGACATTCCCAATATATGGAAAAATAAAAAAAATGTTCCAAACCACCAATGTATAGAATATTGACCAGCATTTACCACCAAAATGACCAAGGTTTGTAGGTAAATATTGCATACGTGGGGCATTTGGGATTGAGATTTGCAGCCAATCTGATTTGGACTTACCTTTAAACAAATGGTACCGAGTAGAAGGGGAGTTGAATTCAATAAATCGTGGGATTGATTTCAATCAAGAAGGGTCATTTAATGTGATTTGCTAATTTACCAAACATTAAATTGATTTAACGAGCAAACATGGTGCTTTAGCCAACAATGACAGGGGTTGCTTCACCAATAAACAGTATCATTCAATGGTATACTCAAGTCATATCCAATCATTTTAAAGTGAGGTCTCCAAAGTCATGCGGGGTACCCCGAAATCCTCCATTTTAAAACATGCTTTTCCGCGAAATAAACCATCCAGCTTCTCAATGAACAGCTTTGGGGATGAACCCGGGGAATTTTTCGAAAAACGCACCTGCCATGAAGGGCTTGACGGTAGCACGAGGACTCAGCGACAGGCAAACAGTAGCTTTTTTGCACTTGGTTTTAGTAAGCTCCAAAAAGAATCAACAAACATAGAAGATCGGTAATCTAATGTAATGTACCACGCACTATTTCAGAATAAATTATTTTCATTGTCTAATTATCCGTGGAGTGTGCCATACTCTTGGGTTCTGAGAAATCGAGAGATGTTTCATAGGACCTATAGGTATAAACAATTAAAAAAAGTGGAAGGGAACACAAGAAGGATCAAATCAGCGAGTCAGAAAACAATACTTCTTCATATGGCAGAAAAATTAGATAAAATTAGATCATACACCTACCAAAGCATGTTTGGACCAGTTGAAATGGTGTTTTTTTCTACCGCATGAAAACAGGCATCTCTGACAGGTCCAATTTCATCGCCGTCCAGGTCGAGAAGGTCTCTTAATTGGATCACTCGGACGACCAAAGCGCTGGTATCAGCGGAATCGGTCAATTACAGTATATATTATATGTACATGTATGGTACATGTCTGATTTGTATAGTGGAAGATCCATTTGAATCCAAATTTTGGCAACACAACATTTCTCGAGATTTTGCCATCTTCAATGTAAAGTTTCAACTTCTGCTGCCAATTCATTTTCCAAGTTTCCATTGGTTTGGCATTGGACTTGCTGCGGGGTTCGGGTTGCAGTACTGTGAGGCTGGGAGGCTCAAATAACATCAGCCTCCTTTTGTCAAATAAAATCACATTCATGCAAAATCATATGTCAACGTTCACAAATTCGCACAAACTTCAGGATCTCAATCAATCATAATCATCCCAGAATTGATGTCAAAAAAATTGGGCGATCTGCAGGAAAACCCATAGATTTCACCCGTTGAAGACCAGGGCTACCCGGCTTTGAGGTGTCCCTGGGAGCTTGGGAGCTTTCACCGTCCAACCTGGCGAAAATATGGGATGTTGAAGTGATTTCAGCTGATTGAAGCTGATTTTGAACCATCTAAATATATGAAAATATATGAGATTCACATTTACATGTTTTCACCACATTAAACTAAGATAACATTCATGTAGGGGATTCTTGTGCTTTTAACATCTGAAGCAAACATAGCTGGGAAATTCCTGAACTAGCCATGGTTAGTTTCCAAACTGGTGGCTGAGGAAAATCATCAAACTCGATGGGTTAGTTTCCAGCAAAGGGTGCTTGGACCATGAAGAAACGAGGATTTTTTCGACCTGTCATGGGGGTGAAAATCAATGGAAAACAACAGTTCTGAAACTCTCAAATTTCGGTCTGTCTATCTTAGAGTCCCAGTCTGCCGGTGGCAGAAACAAGAAGGTGGTTCCTTGATTTTTACCCACCAGTTCCATCCAAATCATTTTTAAGTGGAGTCACAATTAGTCCCAATTCAATCAGAATTATATAGTCCCATTCCAGTTCCAACCAAGTGTGACATGACGATTTAGTGATTTCTGTGTGACTTCCCAAACACTTGGATTTGCGTTTTCAGTTGGACCATGGGGAAGCATACGGATTATGTCAACTGAACTTGTTTTTCTTTGAGTCCATATCCAAAACAGTTGGACCTGTACTGCCTCAGAAATATAGGATACTAATGGGGGAGTGGATTGGGACGAGAACGTGGCAGATTTCGCCAGAATAAAGTGCTGTTTTTATCCAAGCATGCAGCGTGCATGACACATTAATGTTTTTGTTTGCCACAAATGTGGCGAAACAATCCAGGATTTCCTCAACAGTAGCGTAGCGGGGACTTATGTAGAGCAATGAAAAATTCAATCGAGTCCATCAAGATCGAGGCTGTTGAGGCTCAAGGAAACCTGTTGGAATTTCAATCATGACACTACCCAAGCACAGCGAAAATAACAATGATTTCACACATCTGAAATATATGCTCTCTTGATGCTTTGCGCTACCAACCATCATCCTTTATGGCGAAGGGTCTACCAAGCAAATCGTCCCCCTTCCATTATTTTTTGTTCCGAAGCCGAGGAGAGTTAACTCGAAACTGGCGCGGTGCTTCGTGAGAAGCGCACCAGTGGAGCAGTGGCTGTAAGGTACAGCGGCTGGGGTGTGGGAAATCTCACCAACATTTTTCAAAAGTGCTTGGAAATCTAAAAAACTTCGCCACTCTTTCATTGACCTGATTTAGGTGTTCACATGAACTGGTTGAATTGGACTATCGCAACGAAAGCGTGGAAGTTCAATTTGTTGGCAGGATACTATAAAGAGTCTATATACGGCAAGTCCATCTAAAATCCCCGAACAGATCCAAGCAGCATGAAAGAACTATGTAAACTTTTGTGCTACAATCCATCCAGCTGCAATGTTATCTGTCACCCCTGGCCACCTCCAAAAATCCTGGAAGCTTGCTGGGACAATCCTGAAACATCTCAAGCGGCTCCATTGCTGTGGAATATTTATCCCTTTTGGGGGCAACGCGCGTAATTCATCAACCAAGGTTTAATGATCCCGGGCTGACATGAGCCTGCAAAAGAAAGCAGGAAAATATCCGGGCATCTCTCTCTCTCTCTCTTTCTCTCTCTCTCTCTTTCTCTCTCTCTCTTTCTCTCTCTCTCTCTCCCTTTCTCTCACCTTCTCTTCACCGCAGAATATCAACGAATTATCTAGCTAACTAAAGTGGCGTGGAACTCATGGCAGTGGAAAATCTCCCAGTAAATACCACTTTTTGATTCAAGGACGGACCATCAGAAAACCAAACACTTTCCACATGACGAGGCAGCAAGTCCAAACAAAACAGCTGCCTATGGAGTCCCTAAATCCTCCATTTAGTTCGATGATTTTCCCAGCTGTAGCCACTAGTTATGATTTATGGAGATTGTGCAACCAACTATGTTTGATTACGAAGGTAAATCACATTAATTATCTCCTTATCAATGATTAACCTTGGTTAAGCCATGAATAAATAACCACTACTAAGTTTTATCAGAGGTAGTGGTTAGGTCATGACGAACCACTATTAGCAGTAGTACCGCGCAAGGCGGTGGCGGAAGTTTCAAGAACAGGAAACCTATAGGACTAGAGGTTTGTTGTTGTGAATCACGGATGGCAGAGCGAATCCACTGATGGACCGACAGCTGGTTGGAATTGTGTTTTTTGGAATGTTGCAATGGTTGCAGTGGTCACCTTACCGCAACTGCTGGATGTAGTGTGGAGTAGTGCAGTTGTGTTGAAGTTGTAGCTGTAGTTGCTGTGTAGTGTAGTGTAGTGTAGTGGAGCTGTAGCTGTGATGTAGTGTAATCAGTTTATTGGCAAGCGCAGTTGCCGTTGTAGTCGTGGTGTGGTGTAATTAGTGTAGTGTAGTGCAGTGTAATGTCATGTAGTGTAGTCTAGTGTAGTGTAGTGTAGTGGTAGTGGTAGTGGTAGTGGTAGTCGTCGTTGTAGTTGTTTGTCTGTCTGTCTGTCTACCTAATCTATCGTATCTATCTATCTATCTGTCTGTCTGTCTGTCTGTCTATCTGTAAGCTTGAAAACGAAACAATTCTGCGAGACTTCCTCAATTTTTGAACTTGACAACATCAAAAACGAAACAGTTCTGCGAGACTTCCTCAATTTTCGAAGTTGACAACATCAAAAACGAAACAATTCTGCGAGACTTCCTTCAAACATGGAAAGTTGAGTGCAAAGCTGACGGACTCGTACCAATGCGTTTTACGTTTTTCCACTCCACCTGTCTAAAGTACTGCGCCTGCCGCGAAAAAGTGATGCCAGGTCATACGGAGTACTGCACCCGTCACGCAAAATCATCTTCCCAAAACTGAAGATCTGATGCTCCAAAATGCAACTGATCTCAGGAAATCAGCGCCCGGACTCCTAACAGGTCTGATGAACATGTCTCTTGTACTGCGCCTGCCACGGAAAATGCATCTTTGCAGATCCTCTTCAAATGTCCCACACCTGCCATCGTTTTTGGAAATAGCACAAAAGCCTCACGTTTTGCTCACTTTTGACAAGGTGCACAATCCCTTGAAAGTGGCGCGAACATGTGGTGTTTTGCGCATATTGACTTCGAAATGTGCTTTGCGCCACAACGGCGTACACCTTTTGAACATCTCAACTTCCAAAAGTGCTCGGAAACCGGCAGTTTTTTACGCTTTTGAATTCGAAATGTGCTTCGCGCCACAACGGCGTGCACTTTTTCGACATGGCAACTTCTAAAAGTGCTCCGGAGCTGAGGTGTTTTGTTCATTTTGAATTTGCAATGTGCTTCGCGCCACAATGGCGTGCAATTTTTCATCTCTCATCTGACCAGCTGGCTCCGCACCCGCCGCTTTAGCGAGCCTACTTTTTCGACCCTCCGGAACAACAAATCATTGGAAAAACACAGTGTTTCGCGACTTTCCTACTTTTTCGCGCACCTGGATCTTCTTTCTTCTGAGACTTTCTCTTTTTTGATCTTCTTTCTTCTTCTCTTCTCTTCTCTGACTCTTCCCATCTCTGCTTTTCATCTGTCCATATTGTCGGAAGTTTGACTTCTAAACTTCCTTCGGCCATTAACTATTACATACTATTACCATTCTTAACCAACAACTTAGTCAATAAGCCAACAGAAGCATCATGAACCATTCTTAATAAATTATATCCGCCATTATTAACCAATACTAGGCCACTGTTATAACACGTGAAAAAAGACACCGCAGTTTCAGTGAGACCGTCCCAGGCGAGATCTGATCGTCTTCAACGATGTTTAACCATGGAGCCAGGGATGTGGCAGCCGTAGATGACGGTCATATGTTAAGGGATTAAAAGACATACCATGGGGATATAGAACCTGAAAGACTTCGCGGAAAATTGCAGTTGTCTAATATTGTCTAATTGCATATCATGTCATATCATCATTTATGACCAAATGTTCTGGAAAGTTCTGGGTAAAATGCGGTAATCGAATAGCCAGAAACAAGGCTATTTGATCGTTGCCCACTTGGAACCAAAATTCGAGTGACATCTCAGTGAAGTCGTTACAACTTATCCAGATATAAGGTCATAAACGGTGGGGGGGGGGACGAGCCTCTTCTTATAAGGATTCCAGTAATGGTGAGCTTTATAAGGCATGAAGATTGACCATGCCGTGCTATTTGTGATATATAAATATATATGTGTGTGTTTTATACTTACAAACAAATCATATAATATGATATGATAATATATTATGTTATATGATATATATATATATCTCTTTCTATCTATCTACCTATCTACCTATCTATCTATCTATCTATCTATCTATCTATCTATCTATATAATATTATGATATGATATGGTATCAAATGGTATGGTATGATATGATGTGATATGAAATGCTATGCTATGATATAATATGATAAGATATGATATATCTATATGATGTCTGTATCTTTGAGATAATTTCCCTGCAGGACATCAGTGCCTAGGGCCAGCTAAAAACCGTGCCAGGCTCCGTACATTTCCAAACATAAGAGCGCGTTTAGCAAGGGCACAAAATAATGGAAGGACTGGGAGATGATGGGATATGCCGTGCATGTTTGCAATCTCGCTTGTTTCATGGCCAGGACACAATTTACAAAACATCTGCAACTGGAATGAAGGCCATAAAACGCATGGTTCTCTCAAAATGAACAACAGGTACTTGCAACATATCATAATTCCCACGCATGAATTGAATATCTATCAACAAATCTGATTGAGAATTATGTAGGAACCATTATCATGAAAACAAGGCTAATCGGACCCTAGCCATAGATAATATAACATGACAATCAAAAAACAAGATATCTCCCCATTAAACTAAGCTATGATATGCCTTGACTTTTGTAAAAATCACCGTTTTCATGTCATCCAAAGCGGGGCCAGGTGGCTCCGAAGAACCCAAATCCGTCAGGTCACTTCCTCCGAACGAAGCTCCTTCGTCGGTGGATCGCGCGATGGATTGGATGGATTGGTCCATGGCTCCTGGCCCCGGTGTCGATGGCAAATCCTGAGGAACATGGAGGTTTTATGAGAACACATGGGAACATCCAATATGGAACATATATCGGGAAAAGTTGAGATCTATTCCAAACCAGATTCATTGGCGTGGCCATTTGGGGATGATTTCAATGGCCATGACTCAGGAACCGATTGATTGGAGGTACCTACCATATATTTTTGGCCTATTTCTTAGGCCTATGTAAGGGAATATCCCAGCAAAATATGGCCTGAACAATGGTACAGTACCTCCATTTTAGGATCCTGAAATTCCCATTGATGAATGGGGGTTTTCATGGGAAAATGAGCTATACGCCATGGAGAATTTGTCCATTGGTATGTTTCATTACCGGAGGATACCTGCAGCATCCTGCAGCTGGGGCACCTTCCCCAGTTACAAGTTGTTTTATAATATATGACCACATCTGACTGTCAATATGTACAACATAAATCATAAATCCTAGCAGCTGAGGCCCCCCATGTGATGTTTGTTGTTTCAGCCCATGACTAGGTGACTAGCTCGCGTTTTGTCCCCAAAGGTTTTCCGCAAGTTACAAGCCGGCGTGAACTGTTCGCGATTTCGTTTACAGGAGCCTCACCTTATAGTGATCGTAATTATCTAGGGAAACTTACCAACCATGTATGTGACCCATTACCCATCAAAATTTTGTTGGTCTTATTTACCCTTCCTAAAGATAGCTGGTTTGTAGATACCACCATTTGCAGCAAATGATTGAAGCATTAACGTGACCATCCAAAATTGACCCCCAAAAATGGAGAACAAAAACAAGCAAACTAGACTTGGGGTGAAATACGGATTTTCTTGGTCTCATTTCTATGGCATAGCATGGCATTTTTTGGGGGTATACCTCCGGATAACTACATGTACAAGTACTGCATAAGATTCTGGTTACGACCCCAATTCAACTATGGCTGATCCCCAACCTTCCAGGCGACTAAAACTCACCTGGGAGAAGCACAAGCAGCTCGCAGTCCTTCGTGGGCTCGCGCGATTGTGTGAAGGATCCAGTGGTTTTGCCTCGTGGCTGTGAAGCGTTGTGCCACTGCTACACGAGAGATGGCAAAAACATGGGATGTTCATGCTGTAAACCAAGCAAAAAAGACGCCATGTCACAAATTGTACCAGCTTTTGAGTTTCCCAAATTGGATATTCCCAAAGCTGATCCAAATTGTCAGACAATGTCGAAATGCGGCTGTTTCTCAACCTTGGGGTACCACACACGATTGGTTTCCAAACAAAACGTGACCAATGTTGGATGATAGCTTGGGTACCCTCATTTTAGGAACCTCCAATAAAAGAATAGATGGTACAATGTGGGGCCCCCTAGATAGCTAAATTGGTTTATAACTCCAATAATTCTGGTGTATGATACTTCTAACTTCTAATATATACCCTCTGGTAAATTAACATAGACCCTGGCAGATAGGGGTTGGAAGACTAGTTTCCATTAAAAATTGGCTATTTTCAGGGTCTATGTTTATTTACCAGAGGGTAGTTAACGGGGTTTATAAACCATCGAACATAACTGAGGGGAACCACATTGTATATGCTGGGATGTATGTTGGACCGCCTGGTCATTCGCAACCTGAACCCTGAACCCCCCAGAGGGACCGTCTTCGAGCGGTGATTCCCGTCTAGCCGACTGCCTTGTGGATTCTGAAATCAGGCTATTCGAAGAGATATCAAAAAATATGTAAAACAGCCCCTGTTTGAGGTGCACAAAAACATAAGCAACTAAGATTAACTAAGGCTGGCATATCTCATCATGTCTCCAATGCAAAGCTCGAGCTGTATCAGGGCAATCTCTCATGAGTTTGGTTCCATGAGGTTCCGGCACTTGCTGGAACAACCATTAGCTCGATGCAACTTCAAACATGAGACTTAAGAGATTTCATTGACCCCAAAAGCATGAAACTGGTTTCATCTGGTTTCAATGGGCCCAGGGCACTCAATACGAATGGCATGTGATACATCAGATTCATGCGTTAAAAATGACGTAACGCATGTTGCATTGGCAGTTTAAATCATGAACCGATGGATTTCCCCGGAGAAACATTGATAATTTATGAAAATTTCATACTTGCAAGTCTCCAATGGTCTTGTAAATGAAAAAAGTGCCTCTATCCCAAACGTGATTTCATATCATTTGATGGTTTCTCCAACACAAAGTCCGCTGATTCTGGCGCGATTGCGATTGAAAGCTACTTAAGCTACCCACAAGATGATGATTTATGATGAGTTATAATGATTTCATATCAGCCTCGTAGTCACCATTTGTTGTTGCCGAGTTGGCCCTTCAAAGCGCCCCTTTAAAACATGAACCAAGAACTGCCGAGTTGGCGCCCCATGGCCAGTTACTCCAGTTGTAGCCGGGTTTACTCCAGCTCCAACTGGCAGTGGTCGACTGCATCTCTCCACTGAAGTCTTCCGTCTCCTTAGCGATGCCAGCGGCTGAGGATTCCCTGAGGATCCCTGAATTCTTGGCTGTTTCTGGTTGGTGGTTGACCTACCCCTCTGAAAAATATGAAAGTCAATGGGAAGGATGACAACCCATATATTATGGAAAATAACAAATGTTCCAAACCGCCAACCAGGTTTTATTTGGTGGTCTCATTAGTCTCATCTCCACTAGGAAAACACAGCTTCAACTTAGGCTTCGAGCATCGTCCGAGGTATGGTTGGAAAAAACCATCGGAGCATGTTCGAAAGCTCCAGACAACTGTGGGAGTGCAAGACTTCCACTGAATTCGGAGGGTGAACTCGTTTCGCCTTGTGCAACACTGCTTAGGTGATAATAACAGAACCATGATGAGTGGGTTCATGATTCAACTACACACATCTGAAATGGGCCACACTGCCCTGCAGGCTGTTGAGATGCATGCTATCAACATGAACGAGATAGGGATGATATACAAATATTCCTTACATGCATGTAACAATGTACCCGTGCAATCGATATTGTAAAATATTTGGGGCATGAAACGCACTGAAATCTGAATTGTGCCCACGTTCGAAGTTATGAACATGGCGCCCAACATGAACCACAAATACAGGGCATCAAACTGACCGCGAAGATAATTCAAAATCATGTTTCCAATTAGTGGCCATGCCCAAATGGAAGTCCAAGCCAAACAAAGCCAGGCAGCTAAAAAACAGTTTAGCCAAACCTAAAGATCTATGCAGATTTACCTGATACATTATATACATTATCCTTTGCATGGTCAATTGAATCCTGATTTCTGGTTGCAAATTACCGATTTCTGCGGTCATGTAGATACCGGGATACCGCACCCTGAATCTCAAGATCTCAAGATTGCTGATCCCCAAAATAGATGGTTTGACATCAAACATGACCAACCATTTTTGGCCCAATGTTACTCGTCACCCTAAAAAAAGATCCATCATTGAAATTATCCGAAACATATCCTTTGAACATCTTTGAGCCATATATATATATATTAATTACATATCCCATACAATGCACAAATTATATCTTATCAACCGTATAATTGTACGTATATAATTACATGTCCCACAAAATATCCCACTTATGTATGGGCGCTTCATGTTACGCAAAAAAACATTTAGCTATATACTAATTTAGTTGCTCATATAGCCCATCATATCCACGTGAACAAAACATAACTGGTTTGTGTTATGAGTTTTATACCCTGTGGTAACCATGTACTTTGCGGATTTCCCAGCAGCCCGTCATGTGTGATGACAATGGAGGCTACGCTGAAGGGCACAATGAAAGTTGATAACACAGGCAATTGTCACATCCTCAAAAACAAGCGGAGCCAGCGACCCATGACCCAACCCCCGGGTCACGCGCCGTGTCTTCGTACCGGGCGGCCGTGTCTTCCAGGACCATCGGCGGCATCATCTGCGGAGCACGGAGGTTTCGTACCTGCAAAGGACTAAAGCCTCGGTGAGCCGCAGGACCCGACACCATGATCTCATGATGTGACTAGCGGCTACACCTTCTATAGGAGGAATATTAGCGAAAATGCTGGAAAAAATCATGGTAACTCTTCAATTTACAAAACCAATGGTTATTTTTTGAGACACCATCTGTCCTGAGTCTTTAGGGATCTGCGTTCAATTTCAAGGGCAGTAGCAACTGATCCATTGTACATATATACATATATTCTTTGTATATATAAAAAAATACTATATATATATATATATATTTATTTATTATATATATCCCAATGTTTACAATAGCATATCCCAATCTGAGCACGGGTCAAAACCTGGTGCCCTGTAGCTCACCCCTCTTTCGAACTGTGTCATACGTTTGATCAATCCCTTTTTACAGTATCATATGCAATATTTAAATATATATATATATTATCTATATATATATTATCTATATATATATATATATTATCTATATATATATATATATATATATTATCTATATATATATATATTATCTATATATTAAGTAAATTTCGTTGTATTCGATCCCTATTCCATTGTATTTGGTGCCTGGAATCTGGGTGGATTTTGATGGGATAAGAGGGCAAACCACAGCTGAGATCTCGACGCAGTCCTCGCCAATTTTCATCATCAGCGTTTGGTGTGCTTCACACATCTTCTGATGCATGTTCAAACCCCACTGCACAGCATGGCCAGCTTCAGTTCACCTTTTGACGAAGGTTGTTGAAAACATATTTGGACTTGATGAAGTTGGAACCATGATTTGACTAGATGACTAGATGCTTGCACTAAAAACAAAGTGACTTCAGCTGAGCTTAGTGCTATAGCAGTCAACCCCAACGACATCCATTGGACAACACTCAGGTTTAGAGTGTGTTCTTCAAAATTCTTTCCACACGCTCCTTTGGAGTGGATTCACATCACACCAATCGCAAGACTTCATTGGTTTCAAGGGAGATGTTGTTCCGCAGAAAGTACAAAGGCTTTCCTGAGATGGTAGCTCACTGTTTTTGGAAAACACTTTGAAACAAAATCATCAACTTGACTTGAAAGTCAGCAGCCCACACATTGCTTTCTAGCAGTTTCCAATGCTCTGCATGAGCCCGCCAGTTATGCCAAGTTGCTTGGCATCAGTTCCTGGAAAGGACAGAGGAGGGTTTGTGGAGAGAAGAAAACCATTTCATTTCATAACATTTTTTTTGGGCAAATGATGACAGGTTTGTGCCTTCTTTGGCAAAATAAATACAACAAAGAAAAGTCCTTCTCAGCTTTCATGTACGCCACTCTCCAGTGGCGACAGAGTGTGGCGCTCGCATCAAGAACCTATCAGGTTTCAAAGTCTGTTTGGATCAACCCGGTATGTAATGTCACTTTTCATTGCTATCTGGAGTGTGGATTTGTACAGCGCACCTCACGTGTGAAGATGCTTGCCAGCGTAGAGAACTTCAAGTTTGACAACGTTGGCGTGTAGGCAAATGTTGGGATGTTCTTCTCAGGCTTGATCAGAAAGTAGTCAGCACCTTGTACATGGGGGATGTGTATGAATCTGAATTGGTATGATTTGGCAGTATCCTTCTTAGCAGTGGGTGGTACTTAAAAATATACCAAGATGTTTCAGAAGTGAATCACCTGACTTGCTGGCATCTTGGGGCCCTGGTCGTTCACATTGATGGCAATGGATTTTGGTGTCCACCACATTCGCTTCCTCAAGTTCATGTAGTAGGGCTCGGATTGAACATGGGCTGGCATCACTGGTGCTCTTGGAGTTCTCCGAGGCCATTTCGAGTACGACTCGCTCATTGTCCGACACCCAACGGCACTGGATGGTGTGTGCCAAAGGATCACCTGACAATGGATAGAATTGAGCTTGGCCAATACCTGGTCGATAAATGCTACTTACTGCTACAAGGTGTTTGCACAAAACTTGTTTCTCAACTTGGTTGGAACACTGGTCAACTGTTTTTTTCACAGCAGTGTTCTTGTGAGCTCCAAGATGTCTCTCGCCTAAGCTCCATATCTAAAACCTACTGCTCAACAGTAGCCCATGCCCCGCAAAAGAAGACTTGAAAGTCATCAACGGGCTCACATACATGTCATATCCGAGTCAGTAGGCGCCCACATCCAAATCATTCGAAGCAGAGTCAGCTGTGAATTCACAATGAGACTTGTTGTTAAGCGACTGCCAGCAGCATCAGCTTGGCACGTGGGGCGCGCTACTCTTTCCACAAAACACTTATATTCCCCAAACTACTTCTTTGGGGATTTGGAAACGGATGGGATCGTCTTGATCCTGCGACGGCTCTGCTCACTCTTGGAGAACTTGCTCACACTGGCCATGCGCACATCACATGTGAGCCACCTGAGAGGAGACACATCAATGGTTTAATCACATGAATGGGACAGACAATGGTAAATCCAACGCCCACATATTTTTTTGTGATTGGCAGGTTCACCTAGGTGATACTTCTTTCCTGTCCATTTTGGCTCACATGACATCGAAGGACATGCCTTTTTTATACACAATGTCACATAGAGGGCATTGGCTTGGCATGCTGATAGCACACATATGTTTAATATAACATATAGAATGCAGAACAAACATGATATATGATATAATGTTCTATTTTACCAAATTTTGTTGCAGCAAAGATACCGCTCACGAGCAAGCTTGAGGATCTCCCTGCCACTCATCTCGGGGGATTCCTTCTTCAACTTTTTCTGCTCCTGGTGGATGAAATCCCAATAGGCACCACGCATGTCATCAGCGCCAGCGGCTTTGAGGCTCTTTGGCTCAGCAGGGTCTTTGGACTCATTGGCATCAACTTCATCACCACGACCAGGCAACTCCAGGGTCGGGCTGTTGAGGTGGTCAGACAGCTCTTCCTCAGAATCCAAATCGCCACCATGATCATCTCCAAAAAGCTCTTCCATTTCAACATCAGAGTCCTGAGTGACAGGTTTAATGGCTCATTTTTTTTCGTGGTTTTTCACACCAAGTTGATCTGAAATCATGTGGACTGGCTAAGTGTAGTCTCTTTTTCGATTTTGATTTGGAACTGATCATTCGCCGGGGCACTTGGGTCGCTGGGATCTCATCCTTCTTGAAAGACTTGGAAGCCGCAGGCTCAGGGGCAAGGGGTTCAAGCAAGAACAAGAATAGCAAAAGAAAACTGAATGCCAAAACATCGCAAGTTGATGTTGAAAATGGGATCACAACCCCTCGCCTTCTTCATGCTCTTTGCGACCTTCGATGCTGGCTTTTTCGACGAAGAAGTCCTCTTTCGGGTAGCTCTCTCCTTTGGCTTGGGCTCTGGTCCTCGAGCAGGGGTTGCCAAACTTGCTAGAACCACCTGGGCAGCTGTTCGGGCATATGTTCCTCTGGGAACATTCGGAGCTGCCTCAGTCTTGGGTTTCTTTTCCACTGGTGCCTTTCTCTCACGTGGCTTGTTCTTACGCTCTCCCTTCTTTGTTTTGTTCATATCCCCAAGGGCATCAGTAACTTCAGCTTTCAGACTTTGAACTTGGTCTGGCGACAAAACCTTGTTCAGCTGTTTGCCTTCAGCAGTGTGCGATTTGAGAGGCAAATCAGAACTTGCAGGCTTAAGTGCCTGGACCCCAGCCGGAGGTGAAAGGGATGGCGGTGCGCGATTGACCTCGGAGCCAATCAAAGCTGACATGATGGGGATAAATATCAAAAGTCATAGCCATATAAACTTCAGGTTTTCACTCAGGATGATCATGCACTCATTGGGAGTTGAATTAAACAGTCAGCACTGGATCCTAAGAAACAGGCTGTAGCTGCAGGGGGGGTAGTCAAAGCATCAGGGCTTCGGTCTAACATCTCATTGAGGTCCTCTATCCAAGTTTCACGAGCATCAATTTTAAGTGTAGCTGATCAGTTTTCACTCACAGGTGTACATCCTGAACAGCCATGATGTAAATACAAGTTGACTGCACTTTTTCAAAGGTCCTTATTGAAGCCATGCTTTGCCAGCACATCATTCAAGCTCATGTTGGACATCAGGGGTCTGATCTATCTGATTCTATGACGCCCTGGGCCTACGCAAGACCAGTTGTTAGAGATCCGAAATGCTGAGGCAATCAAAATGTTGGAGGTACAGGTTGGGGCATGGTTAATTTCAGAGAATACCCTAGGTGTCTCACATCCCTTGGTGATGGCAAGCAACATGAAAGACATCTTTAACTAGCTTCAGTTATCAGTGTGAAAACCAGTTGAGTGTAAGAGCAGGCTGTGGCAGGCCTGTTCCAACATGTTCACGTGTCATCTTGACAATCTTGTCGGGCTTCAAGAAACTTGACTTGCCATGACAAATCAAGAACTCATTGGTGTCGAGCTCCAAAGCCTGGTGGGCCACCTGGGCTGTGACTATGAGTCATGGGAAATCATTGTATCCTGAATCAATTTGATAATTCTTGGCTATGTCTCACTTCTAAGCTATTGTAGCTACAAAGTAGGTTGGTTTAAACCCGAAAAGTCCCCATGAAGAATTCCAATCCAAAGGACCAAGAAGAGTTTGTACTTCTGTTGGTTGTCCAGGGCATCAACCAATGTGCCATCTCTTCGGGAAGCCATTGTAAGATACAGAGAAACACCTGGCTGCCGTCCTGACACCTTCTGCTCGACAATGTAAGTGTCAAGCAGCTGCTCCAAGCTCTTTGGCTCTGAGGTCCACTGCGGAGGTGGCTGCGGTGTCTCCACATCATCTTCTGCAGGCACGATGGCATCATCAAGGGGAACTGCCATGCTGCCACAAAACCTGAAGTTTGGCAAGTAACACAGAGTTCAGTCAAGACTTTCAAGGCTTTCTTGGGTGAACAAAGGATGGACAACAAAATCATCATTTTATGATAATGTTGTTACGCTATAGTTTGGTATGGGTTGTTAAGGAGGAAAATAAACCAACATGTTGCCAAAAAAATCCAATGATAGTCTTTCGATCAAAGTCTAGGATGAGGTCACGCCATTGCCCTCCATGAATCGGGTGATCAAGATGCAGGGCTCAGGTTTCATTGCTCAAGGTGATCTTGTAAGCTTCCCATCCACGTTTTGCAGGGTCTTTTGCAACAGTAGCCAACTTCAATGGGTACTTACTGATATCCAATTCCATCGCAGCTGGGGGGTGAGGATCATAACGGCGAACGTTGCCAAGATGAACGCAATCCCCCTTCCAGTCCTCCCACAATGGCTTACTAATTTGAGATTTTCACTAAATATTTCTGATTTGAATGATCCCAGAAATTATTGAATGTTCCAGTGTCCTGATGATTTTGTAGTTATATCCTTGCTCCTTTTCTTTTTTGAATCTATTTCGAAAAAGGACCAGGGAACAGCTGAAACACCCAAGTCCTCAAGCAGAAAGAGAGCCACAAGCTTTTCACAGTAAGCTGCGGTTGCAACATCCGTGGACAAAGACATCGCTCTCACTTGGTACCCCGGGTTTTTGTGGCTGAATTGAAGACAAACCTTCTCCAAACATGCTTCATACGGGGTAAGGTTCACCACGAAAAGCTTCTCCCCAACGGACGATCCAGACAGCAAGCTCTTCAGGACAGCTTCTGGCATGCCACTCTGGGCAAAGGCTGTGTGCAGGTATAAAAGGATTAATGCAAGTTTAACATGAACCTAGGCTAGCCTAACTACAACCAGAGAACAAAATAAAGATGGAATCTATCCTTTACCCCATACTCATATGATATTTTTGGTACGAGTTTTACCCTAGTATGTTTTCGCCTGTTGTATGTCAGGTCAAAAAACTATGGGTATACTATGGGTTTACTTAACAAAGTTGAAATACCAAAACATATGGCTTTCTTGGAAGGTGCTAGCTGGTTTGGCCAAGATTGAGAACACCACTTAGTTGGACAATCTTAAATCTGAATGAAGCTGGAAAGATATAATGATATAGTGTGCTAAGTTTGATTCGTGTTGAAGGATCTAACTTTGAAAGATATAATGTTGAGCCATAGAAACATATGGGTACCGTTATGCTCCATTGGATAACCCTTTGCTCACCCAGCTCCTGTGTCCTTCTGACGCGGTCAGAGAACTGTCCTTGATGGGCACCACGTACTGCGATTCAGGCAAGAATGCAATCAAGTCGCGGGGGCTCCTTCAATGCAGAGCAATGTGACTGACAGTATGACAATGACCAGTGTAGGATAGTGTAGGGCAAGTTTCCCAAACAGACACAGCATTGGGACAAGAGAGAGCAAGATAGACACTGCATTTTAGCTGCATCAACCTAGCAGCAGATCAAAGAAACACACAGCAGACAGAACAAGAAGATGCAACCGGACCAAACAAGTAAGCCGAAGACCAAGCAAGACACCATCAACAAGAGTTAGATTAATCCACACACTAGCTGCCATCCACGGCAAGCAGACTGGTACAAGCGAAAGAGATCAAGGACCGAAACCAGCCCAGAGACTTCTTGGGGAACAGTGACAACCCTTTGAAGACTTTAGAGACAAACACCTGGAGATCCAAAACTCAACAAAGAAAGAGTACCAGGGGCACCATCCCAGACAATACCTATTCTCAGCACCAAGAGGTGCTACTGGTAACATGTTTTGTAAAAAGGATATATTATGATTCTTGCAACAAACCTTCATAGATAAGGGGGAGTTTCCCTTGCTTGATTTAAGGACGGTTTAATGAATAAGCTATGGGTGCTACATGCTACAACCTCCCATCATAGAAAAAGTTTGTTTTGTATGTTAGATGCCATGACTTTTTTCCACAAATTGTGGGTATGGGGTATGTGCAATAAGTAAGCTCCTGTCTTGCAGAAGGGCACAGGTGCTGAAGGCATTATCCACACAGTCAGCCATCATGCATAGCCACCCCGGAAACTGAATTGGTGCACGCTTGGCTGATGGTGGAGGTTCACATCTCAAGTACACATGCTCGGCATTCACCGCCTTCGCATCAAATTTGTCTTCTATTCGCCTATCATGTTTGAAATTTCCAAGAATAACCCCACACTTTTCACCAAGTTGATTTTCTGAAACAAAAACAAATGAGGATGGTTTCCTGACACCTATATAGTCTAGCCTCCACTCGTCTCGTAGGCCACTGCGTCGCTCGCTGCACAACTGAGGCCCTATTGCGAAGCAGCAAGCTTTGTCAGGCACGGCACCCAAAGCTTTCACTACTAAGTCAACTGAATTGTTGAGCTCAGCAGTTGACACAACTCCGTATTTCATGAAGTCCAACCATACAACGACACCAGCATCACAATCTTTGGCAGCTCGCATGAACTGAGGGGTCTCAATTCATTTGATTGGAAGCATGTTTTGAAGAGCGGTTTTTTTGCAACCAACCAGGGTATACCTGAACTGGAATCTGATATGATATATATTGTATAGTATATTTATATGAATGGTTTATTAAACATATTTCACTTTTTTTGAATATAATGTATAGTACTATAATATGTTATATGATATGATTTGATATTTTACTATATTATATTAAACTACATAAAAGTATATTATATTATATTATACTATGTTATATGATACTACATTATATTACATTATATTTTATTACATTTGGGTTTTTCATCAACCACACCTTCTCCAATTCTGCATACAAATCGTTCTTCGGGCCAGAGATGACTTGGGAATACTGCAGCATGTGCTGGGTGACAATGTTGGAACCCAAGCTGTTCTCCTGCTTGAGATGCATGACCTTCGCAAGCCGGTTGGCCCTCTCAGATGACTGCTCTTCCTTGTAGAGAGTGGCAAGCTGGCTTGCATCCCTTGCAAGAGATAAACAATCGGTTTCAAACGCCAGCTTTTGTTGGGACTTGACAAGGGTATCAATCTTCCCATCTGCCTGGCTGAGCACGCTTGGATCATTCTGTTTTTTGGATTCCGGTAGGTTGTCAATCCACATGGTGGTGGCTTCCAAGCGAATCATGGGGTCCTTCACATCCACGATTGTTTTCAACTCATCATGGTAGTCCCTTGGTTGTCCAATAGCAATTCAAATACATACTGTTCTGACCCCATGTAGATTAAATGTTTGAAAACATAAAAAAAAGATTTAAAAAGACAATTGCTCTATGAACATCCCAAATCAAGTGTCCCTTCGATGAACCGATTCATGACCGCCTTGATCGTCTCCCCTGGGAAGGTGAGAAGATTCTGTGGATCTCGGAACGATTGCATCTTTTCCAGGACTGCCCCTGCGAGACATGAAACATCAGCTTCCTGGTTCCAAGTAGCCGGCGGCAAACGAAGTACCTGTGCCTTTCCTGCCTTTTTTTTGGCAATGGTGTGAACAAGGATGACCCTCTGAAGAAACAGGTGCTGCTTCCCATCATTCATCTCCAGTAGGTCCCGCCAGATCCCTTCACAGTCTCTCGGCACACCTCCCAGGAGCCAGCGGCTGTTGAGCAAGGTCTCTCTGCTGAAGGCTGCAGGGAGAGAAAGGATTGGGCTTGTTAACATACTTTTTTTGAACCGTCATGGGGTGCGAACAATCCAAACAGCTGTTTGAACATCGGAAAAAACATGCTGGCTAGCTTTAGAGGAACTTTTTCGTCACATGAGCCTGAAGCTTCAAATTTGTTCACATGGAGATGTTGCACAATTAGCTGCCACACCGGGTCGCAAGTTCCCACCTGACAGGATGGGTTTGGAACAACGGTATGGCCATACAATGACTGGTTAGATTGGGACATGTCCATATGTTGTTGGGACTATCTAAGGCATATCTTTGTCAAGTTAAAATAGTGGTTTGAACCATGTTCTGGGGTTTTGAAATCCAAGCCTTGAAGCCCAACATCAGACTTGCTTGGGTTCGATCGATGCGCTGTTTGGGGTCTCGACTGGCAAAGCCATACCCATTGTACTCTTCAATGGCTTTCAGCCATGCATCAGAGTAGGTCATGTTCGCCCCATCCTTGCCAAGGACTTCAAACACAATGCTGAATAACTTAGTTAGCCCCACATTGGTCCCATGAAAATGAAAATTACCATCATTATTTCAAACACATGATTATCCAAAACCAAACATGCCCCAAACAGAATACCATCCTTTTGAAACCCAGCTCCCGCTGGATTTCCGCTGCACGGCGATGGAACACTATGCACAACTGCAGCAGTGACTTCTTCTGCCTCTCTGCTTGGACCTGGGAGTTTTGGATCCTTCGCCACATGTAGTCGCTCTCACGTGCTTGGGGCATATAGACACACTGGAGAATGAAGGAGCATGAAAGCCACCTGAGTTCAGTAGACATTTTGTTGGCACCCAATTTTCCCAAATAAAGATATTCATGGGAAGCATGGTCTCCATTGGTGATAACTTGATAACCACAAAACAATAATTTTGAAACATAGTGGAACTGCTCAAGTAGGGATCCCCAAAAGTCTGCAACACAGGAACGACCGTTTGAAACAGGTATAAAGGACGAGGTTTTGAGATTTTACCAAGGACGAGGTTTTGAGATTTTACCAAGGACGAACTTTTGAAACAGGTATAAAGGACGAGGTTTTGGAGGTCGAGCCAGGGACGAGATTTTGGGCTTGGATTCATAGATGCATCACCTTTAGTCTTTCCAAGTACCTGAAGTTCCAGGGGCGAACCTGGGGTGCGGAGGTTCACCCTTTGCCCCCCTAGTCTGTGGTATCTGGGATCTGGGGGCGAGGTTCCTGACAGGAACCTCACCCCTGTCCTTTTCCCTATCCCATTGAAATATCAAAGGGTTACAAGGAGATACCCAAAGAACTGACTGGGGGCGAGTGGAAAGGCTACCAAATTGAAGGGTACCATCATGAAAAGGACGAACCTCCCACCTCCAGGTTCACCCTTTCAACTTCGAGAATCTAGACGTCTCAAAGGCGACCCATCTATGCCCCCCAGGTATATTAGAAACCATTTGCATATTTCTGGGGCCATTCCCAAAATATTCATCCCAAAACTGTTCTGGGGCCAAGTTACTTTCGGAATTCCTGACGCTCTTCATCAGATTCCAAGAGGGCTTTGAGCTTCATGTAGGAATACCACACAGTAAACAAGAGAATGCTGACCCTCCCAGTACCTTTGGTGACTTCAAGGGAGCCAAACTCCAAGGGCTGCCCCAGTAGACTGGCATCCACAGGTTTCATTTCTACCGACTCCCTCCATGGTTCGTATCCCACCGCCCAAATGGACGAAGCATGCACCATCCAATCCTCCAGAATTGGCAGGCCATCGCAAGGCACCTTCATGGTGAAGGCCAAGAGAGGCACCTTGAAGGGAGAAAGCTCGGCCACGTCCTGGCAGAAAGGGCAGCCCAAAGTACTTGATTAGAACATGTGTTGGGGTTCGTGTTAACAGTTGGATTAAGAAACAACTTTTAGGAACCCAGTCCGGCATTTTCACATTGGACGGTTGCAAAGGCTCACCCTCTAAGATTTCTGCCACCCATTGGTGAATAGTCTGGCACAAGTTCACATCCATGTTGTTCAGCAACCAACTGACTGGGTGTTGGTCTTGCATTGGATCAAAGGACCTCAGAGGCTCGTTGTTTCAATACCCTCGGGAAAACGGTTAACCCTCTATTGTACCCCTGGATGTAAACTGATAGATGCCCCCATTGTCCATTTTTTTTCTGTGTAAATCAGTCGGGTGGCTGGGCACATGCTAGCAGTTTGCTACTCCATGGGCCCAGGCAGTCTGTCTTCAACGCCTTGCTCGCCGATGGTGGCGTTCCTGAAGCGGGACGCTTACCCATAGCTTTCCCAGCAGCTGAATCCAAACCTAACAAAATGGCTTGCGGGAAGGCATTTGAATTTTCAGCTTGATGCCGGCATAGCATTTTGCAAGCTCCATCTCAAGGCTTTTGGTTTCTGAAAGAGCATGGAGTCTTTTTCCAAGCTGGTGCTGATGTTGCAATCAATCTGAACTGAATTGATTGTGGAATCACAATTTTTATCCACTTTGATTTGAATTAATACACATCTTTTCAAGAGAAGCGAATTTCACGGCACAGGGTCAATGCACATGGTAGAGGCAATAATAAATGCCCCCACACATGGCACCGACATGCCATTGCCTGCTGCTTTGGCTAAGGCAGCAGGTGAGGCCTCATTCATCTTCAGCTTCGGCGATCCTGATGCTCGGGACTGAGCACTGCTGGTGGGGATGCACTGGGAAGCCAACATCTCCGCCGGTGTGAAACATCGCTTTTTCACCTGCAAGGGGATGGAAAGTGAGAAGGTTCAGATCTACTTCAATTGTCTTTCCGTATTTTTAAAAGGGGAAAGGCTGTTTGTTAAATCTATCGAACATGTTTTTTTTGGAAGACACCACCTTGGAGTACAACCGCCCTGAGTTGGTTGTAAGTGTTGGAAGGTGACCTTCCACAGTGTTCGTCCTTCCACGGCCAGTTCGAACCAACTGGGACAGGTCTGCCACCTGCCAATCACGAGAGTAATTCATGTAGGCCTTTCGGTTCTCTTCCTGAGCAGCAGACCCAACATATGATTATAAGTTAACTTATGAGACAAACATCCCACTGGGGTATTTGAAGTATTTGTAGTAGAAACAGGATTCAGATTCATACGAAGCAGAACTGTCAATATGTTTTTGGGTAGAAGTAACATGTACCTGTTACATACAAATTGAGAGTCTTCAGCAGGGCTCAGTTTCATCTCCGGGGTCTTGGTCAGAAAAAAGTAATCATCAGCTTTCATCACTGGCTGAGCCTTGAGTGCTCCTAGTACCCTTTCCAAGCTGATAAGTTTGCTCCATTCATATGAAGACTTCTTCCAGCCAATCCCATAGCAGCGAGCTCTGGCACACCCCAGGCCAAACAGACGGGGGTCAACACAGCTAGCCTTGACATCCCAAGCTACCCCAAGGTAACGAGACATGGTTTCTTCCAATTTGGATTCCTTCACGTTTTCACAGATGGCCAAATCTGCAACATCCCCAACAGTCTCGTAGTACTTCTTGTGGCATTCAAACACCACGTCATTCTCCCCCTCGCCAAGTCCCATGGGAGAGAACGGAGTGCATGGCCCTCCTGGAAAAAATGTCAGACTGTTTTCTGTTAATGTTTGTTCTCATGATAGGATGGGACAGCAAACCAACAGTTCAAAACAGGGAGTCCTGAAATATTCATTCGATCTCCTTGGGGCAACATGAAAGATCCATGGTTGAAGGCCATGCAAATTTATAGTTTCATAAATCCACTGCCATGTGTATTTTAATAAGCTGAGATTCGACCATGTTGCTTGGGAACGCTCACAGGGCAGAAGTTCTTATGGGTGGTGCACCATGAGGTCTTCTTGCCACGGCCAAGGCTCATGATATCATGAAAGCAACAGGTCCCATAGGTCCCGGCTAGGATTTTCTGGCATGATTCCTCAATCTCCACACCCCATCGCATGTCAACATGTCGGCCACCCAAAGGTTTGGAGGATGGAAACATCTTCTTGGCAGCAGATTCGAGGCTGAGCAACGCCTGGTAGGGGAGATGGAGTTGAACTGGGTTGTGAACTGTGAACATGATGTTGAACTCTGGGATCATGATAGATTGTGAACTATTTGTGCATCGAAAACAATAGAATTACCAGTATATTTTTTTTTGAACACCCCACCGTTTCTGCACACCCGATTCCACTGAAACATGTTGTGGTTGTCCATCGCCACTTTCCAAATTTGGACTTGACAAGCTCATGTCCAAATTCCTGAACTAACCTTTTCAAGAAGACAGTGGCCCACGACATTGAGCTGTTCACTGATCGGAATCCCTTGGGGTCATCGCCAGTGGGCTTCGCAAGATCAGTCTTTGGAAAGAAAGATCTCCTGCACTTTACATGCTGAACTTGGCTACACAAACATTGTCTATAAAAAGGCATGAAGAGGAGAAAAGCAGCTTTCAACACACAACCGAAACATGGAGTGATAAACCCAAGTGTCTCTCCTCGGCTCGGCTTTTTTGGGCTTCTGGATCGTTTTCTTCACACGTCTGCCAAGCAAAAACTTAGCTATTTTGATTGGGCCAAGTCTAGTGTGAGTTGAATGTGATTGGATTGCCTGGCCTGTCAGGCTGTGCTGGGCTCACTGCTGCATGAACAGCCAGCTTCAGGGCAACAGGACTCCTGGGCGCAGCTGCTGCAAGGGAAGGGAACCCATTTTCTACACAGAAATCATAAATCAGCTTCTTGAATTTGATAGTCCAATGGAGTGAATGCTGCAAAGGTTCATTTTGAAAATCCAGTTGCCAGTATTCGACGGTTGAGCCACAAAACCACTGAGGCGCCAACTGTCTGTTGGTGACAACATCAGAAATGCTTCCATCATGCCATCATATACCCTTTTATAAATAAGCAATATCATAGTATTGTATATTGGACATATGTTATAATTCTTAATCAAGGTCATCAAGTGGAGTACCCTTTCAGTGGCATTTGGAATCCCCACAAATGCTTGTGACATTTTGTGACTCTGCTACGCCAATTTTTTTTGACCCAACGTCGTTTGGTTTCAGCTCATTGTGTGTCTTCGGCATGCAAATCGCACAGCCGATGGCAGGCCCGAGTGAAGATACTTCCCAGCTCATACACCTTCCTTTCATTCGATATGTAGTTCTTGCCCATCAGGATCTGTGCCTGGCAATCCCGAGGGGTAGGGTTGCTTGGATGGGCTTTGGGCTTGGAGTGGCTGTGAACAATTCTGGGCCTCAATCAACGCATGGTTGGAGACGATGCTGATTCTTGTTGCCTGGAAAGTTGGGGATTATCAAGCATCAGCCCATATGAACATCAAAGCACGAGGGTTGCTGACCTTGCCTTCGAAGGTGTCTCCTGATCAAAAAGGCTTGAAACTAAATGATTGCTTTCTGATACTAGTTGTTGTTTGCAAAGATTTTTGAGACAAGAGCTCAATACATTTCCAGTCCTCTTTCTCTGGAGTAGGCTCTTTCTTCCACTCTGGTGGGGTCTGGCCAAGCATTAGATTCTTGTGCAAACACGATGAGAACATGTTATGAACTTGGTCAAACTGCAACTGAACAGTTATAAAATGCATATCTTGATTTACCTGGCCTGGGACTCCTGAAAGTACTCATATCCATGTCGCTTCTCTGGTGTCACAAGAGTGCCACCACTGCTTTCAGCCTGGGAATTTTTGAATTCATAGCACCAAGGATAAATTTGTTCAATAAATCATTGCAATGGTTGGTGATGACATTTGTTTGATTATAGATCATAAGTTCAAAATCTTGGGTCCGAACACGAAAGAGAGTTCTTCGGGTGTTCCTCTCAAAGCTATCCTCCACTTCCTCGAGACTTGCATTGGATCGTTTCCTGGCCAAGGCTGTGACATTCTGAGCAGCTTGAATCAAGCTGCAGCTGGATCTGGTGGCCTGTCAAGGTCAGTCGGCGAATCGGAGCCGCTATTTCAGGTGAATTCATTGAAACATTGGAGCAGCTTTAAAACATACTTTATAGACTTGGGCCAAACACCTCATCATAGATCAAGTGAGATAACACTAGCGTTTGCTTTCTGAATGACCTGTTTGTCTTGAAGTTCTTGAAGTGCCGCAAAATCTTTCAGTGTCAGCAGTGTGAACCAGGTATGTTGGACTAGGATTTTTTTTCACCGAGGACGGCCTAGGCGTGCCATGAACCTCATCTGAGGCATGAGGCGCTCAGCTGGACGGCAATTGCTCAAGTCCAGTTGTTCCAATGCATCATATTCACCTGGAACCCTAGTAGATATCCAGCGCAACGCTGGGAGCTCATCAGGTTCTTGATTTGAATCACAAAGTTTGATGAAATACCGAATTGTTCGTTGGGTGCTCTCAGTTGGAGCAATGTCCAGCAAAATCCCTGCCAACTGTAAGAGTTTTTTAACCCTGTCAGCATCAAAAACCTTCAGCGGCCTTGGCACACGAGGGATCTCAGTCAAGATGTTCATGAATGCCGCAGGCCACACCAAAATAGGCTCCTGGCGATGCGTTTGGTATGTCAAACTATCCAGTTTTACCCACTTTTTATCCCTGAAGATTCTTCCAACATGTTTGTTGAACCATCATGGGATGTGAAGAAACAAGTCGCAATGTTCTCAATTCTGAATTTCACATATGGCTGAATCAGTCCTGTGACAGCGAGCTGTCTGCTGCGAAACGTTTGATACAGCAGAAAACATCATTTCCAGAAGTCTCCCACAAAAGGACTCCAGGTCCATTGGCCACGGTCACCATGTTGGGCGGCAAATCTGGCCAGTACACCATAAATTTAGTTGAAATCTCAAGTGATGAAATTTGAAATTTGAACTAAGACAGCTGATTCAGTGGTCGCGGCTTGCAGCAAATGTGCCTCGACGACGCATGTACAAAAAGCAGTGAGCACCAGTGGCATCCTCTTTGATGCCACCAGCGTATGTGATTGGCACTTGTTCCAACCTGGGTTTGCTGGATGATAGGATTGGTGGGGATAACCAGGGGGTTCAATATTATAGGATATGAAATCAAACCATCAAAGATTAAGGTATCTATGTAGACCTACTTGCTATGATACAAGATATTATACTGCCACCAAAAAGCCATGACTTCCAGTCCCGGACTGTGGTCACAGCTTCTACGTGCACAGTGGCTGTGCCAAGCCATTCTTTGAGATGCAGTTTCTCCATGAGATAAGCCACCTTCCTCAGCATTCTAGGAAACAAAGCTTGTGCTGGAGATTCTTGCACAAAACTGGTCTTGAACTGGTGAAAGTGAAGCATGCCATGCAGTGCAAGTTACTGGACTATGTCGGCATCATCTGCCAGTACATCCACCCATTTCATCGATCGGCTCAGAAGGCCATATATTTGATCTCAGCCAGGGTTGCTCTAGCTGCCAATTTGAAGCGAAGAGAAATGGAAAGTGCAACTCTATTGAAACACAATTTTCAGGCCTAAATTCAAGGCTAGCTACCCAACGTCGAATGGGTGTGGCCCACACGGCTCATCATGAGCCCTGTGAGCTGCAGCCCCTTTTGCAAAAGCATCCAACTCATCATCTTCATCATGGTCTGATTTTTCGACTCGCGCACCGTGTTATCTACCTCAAGTGGCATAGGGCCGCCATACATAAAATACCACCAAAGATTTCTCCAAACCAAAGCATTGAAACCTACAAGCCCACAACAAACAAACATCAAATCTTTGACTCAATGAACTTCAAGGTGCCCAAAGAAAGAGTCTCTTTGGGTAGGGTTTTCCCATGGCATCACAAATTTCTTTCATTTTGTCAAGCGCTTTTGACAAGCATTCAGCCACAAGTGAGCCATCTGCACTTTGGCGAACTTCTATCACATAGAGGGCTAAGATTACCCCGTGCAACCATACGCCCTGAAGCTTAGTACGAGGGCGCTCGTACTTGGCAACTTGTTTCGTCAAAGTCTGGTGACGGCATCTGGGGATCGCCCATTTGGACTGGTCCATTCCATCCTCAATTGCAAATGACCAAAAAACCAGGTTGCAACCCAACCAGTGTTTCTCTCATAGCACCAACCCCTTTTCCCTCATCTAATGCTGGCAAAATGCTGTGCTGCAAAAAAGGACCCCTTCATCATCCTTCAGCGGGCTCAATCCCTGGCAGTGAAGATGTGGTATGAGGCTAAGAGATCTCATATTTGGACATGACCCAGCATGAGGACAAAGTTATCAACAATCTGCCTGGAGGTACATCTCCAATTGTCGATCGGAAGCCACAGACTCTAGATGCTCTTTGTACTGTCGACTCACATGGAACCGATCCAATGGATCCTTGGGGGGCAACATTCATGGTTGGTGCAAGGAAGCTACTCCATCTGGCATGATGACATACTTCGCTTGCAACATTCTTTCAACATGAGACCCCATACTTTGGTCTAAGGATCTGAGGAATCTTCAAAAGCATCTTTGTATGCGGCGCAGTCATCACATGCAGGAAAATTCGTGGGAGTGCAAAATTTCAAGAGGTTTCGCCATTTCGTTTTGTATCTCCGACAGAAATGTGAGTACCTCAGAGGCCAGCCATGCATACCATGGTGTGCTCTAACTTAACTTGCTATCCAACAAAGAAATTTGCAATTGGCATCCACTTGAAGCTCAAGTGCGAAACATCAGTGCCACACTGCACATGCAACATCCTCAAATTACCAGGCGGGAGGTATCTCGTGGGCAAGTCAGAAGGATCCATGCCCCAGTTGCATTCCACAATCCTGGGCTGGCACAAGTCGACATGACCCTTTTTTGATCACAACATGTTCCCCAATTTCTTGATACAGTCTGCAAAACACTGAGACCATGTCTGTGTGAAAAGCATTTTGCTGCCCATCACATGTAATTTCAGCTCCACATTGGATTCGATGGGTTCTCTGGGCAAAATCTGCTCTGCATCCTGTTCGTTGTCAGAAGGGTCATCTCCTGAGAGAAGACTACAAGGAATCAAAAGAGGTTTGAGGGTTCTGGTGGTTGGTCTTTCTGTCTTCCACCTCTTTGGAACAAGGCTCCTACATCTACATCATCATGATGTTTACCTGGTGTGAACTCCACTTTCAAAAGGGGCCGTGCATCACTTGCCTGTGATCTCAAACGTGCTGCTCTGCGAAACCTCAGAAGCGCATTGATGAGTGACCAGAATAATCTAAAGATCGCAACAGGTCTTACTGCAACAATACTCTGGTTGATAGTTTGCAGATGGGGAACTGTGTCGGCAACATGCCACCATGATGCACATATAGTCTCAAAAAGAATTGGTCGATGCGCATGTACTTCAATGGTTTGCGTTTCTTTTCCTTGGGCTCAGAAACGTTGTGCCCACAAAAAAAAAACAAGCACCAACACACACACACACACCTACTCACACACCAGCGCCATCTTGTGTGCGCCGAGATTCAGCACCAAAACACTTGTACCGATGGTCTAGCCTTCCCATCCCAGCAGATTTCAGTCTCTGAGGCCTTATCCCAAGAAGTGACGCCAGGCATTTACTAGAAACCAGTTTCCCACATAGTTGCCAGGACCTGTTGCCCCACACAGTGTTCTTCATCCGGTCGTAGATCTCAGCTCAGTTTGTGAACAAATATGGTTGATATGGCCAAGTAGCCGGCAAAAACTTCTTTTTTTTAATCATGTATAAATCTATATTGTGTGGTTGGCATCTTGGGACAGCTTCTGAGCTTCAAACGTAAGCATCTTGAGCTGGTTTCTCCATGCCCCAGAAGGCTATGATGAATTTCATCAACTCACCCATCCCCTCTGCAAACTTTCGGAAGCATCTCCCCAGGTGGCAACGGCATGAACTCCTGCTAAGAAGAGTCTTCACCCTATCCATGGAGACACCATTGTCCGAGTGCCTGCAGTGCATGACGCCATGGTGGCACCCTAAACAGTTTTTTTTAAGCAAACTGCAAGAAGTCATACATCATAAACAATTTCCCTCGAAATGATCAAAACACATCAAAACTGAAATGCTTAGACTTATGTCTGAGATACTTTTGGCGAACCTCTGGATTGGCATACAGTTTTCTCTTGCTGCTATCATAGTTTGGTCGCAAGCGTGGGGGTGCAGGTGGCTGCTTGTATGAACTACTAATTGATCCAGCACCTTTGAATTCCAAGATGCCACCCAAGTCAAAGTTGACTATGGATCTTTCAATCCTTGCAGCTGATGGCGCCCCATCACTCAAAGAAGCTAGAAAAGCTCGGCGGTCACCTTTTGGCACAACATCAGTGCCCCCAGAACTCTGCTCACCATTGCTCAGGGTGGCAATGAACTTACGCCGGTCAGCCATCACTATTTGACCACAAAACGCAGCAGCCAAACACTGGCAAGCTATATAATTATATCATGTCATATACTAGTTTCACCAGAAACATCAAATCCTATCATCCAGCAAAATGTAATGATTTCAGCAGTCATCCTCCAGCAACTTGGCAGCAATATCAGGGATGTCTGGGAATCAAATAAAATGAAACGGCCATCGATTATAATGAAATTGACTTAATATATAAATATTATCTATATATATATATATAATTACATTTATTAATTTATCTATTTATCTTTTAATTTATCCATATATATCCCAATATGATTGTATGTGAAAATGGTGCCAAATGGCTATCCCTATCGGGAACATTATGGTTAACCATCTAATTTAGGGGCACCTTGTTTTCAAACAAACCCAAGTAGAGAACTGGATCATGAGATGTAGGAAATGCAGATTTAACATGACTTAATCTATTGACTTTCAACAAAGTGGTTCCCATTTGTGTCTATGCATGACGACATTCCTTTGACAAACCGAGTATCACCATTATATTATCATATCTCTATCGAATACCTTCTCGGAAGGTGTTTGGACCCAAAAAACAATCCCCAAATAAAGTCTCAGAAGGTGCTTGAAGCTGTTGGGAATGTACCATCTCGTGATCAAAAATGGCAATGGAGAAGTCCACACGAAAAAAAATACATAAATGCATATTTGCAGAGTTTGCAGGGGATTTCTTTTTTCCCTATGTTCGATTAATATGTTAAATCCCATTCAATGCTCAATAATTCCATCATATACTGTTTTCTGATCATGATGGTTAAATGATGTTTGTTCAGGTTTTCAATGCCATCTTTTAGACAAATACCCTCAGTTCCCCTCAGATCCCCTCATGGTTTTTCAGCGCCAACACCTCCGGATCCTCGCGGCACCGCCAAACCAAGCTGCTGGCAGGGCCTCCTTTGGACAACATCTGCTGTTCGCGCATGGCAGCCAGCTGATAGGCTGCCGGGTCGTATCTCAGTGCACCGTGGACAACGCGATTTTCTGAAGAGGACATTTCAAAAAGGAGCCACAAAAAACAGACCTACAAGTGACATCATCATGGGGTGATGATTTCACAAAACGTATTGGTTTATAAACATGAACAATGGGGATCTAATGGGATATATCATGAACAATGTGATATCTGCAATGCTGTTTTATGCAGTTTCGTGTTTGTTAACCAAAAAACTGCCACGAATAAAGGGCCTAGTTCCAATCTACTTTGGACGGTTCACCTTTGTTGACAGTAGGCGCGCCAGCGCCCACCAAAGAACCACTTCAACATGGCTACCTATGCTAATCTTGTTTACCATAGCGTCATCGCAAAATTAAGTCCGTTCTTGTTGCTCGAACATATATCAAGCCACCCAATCTGAGGTCTATCCAGCTAAATGTGGTGAACCATGGTAAAGCCAATATTCATGAACCATCTCAATAATCAACCACATTAATCATAATCCAGATTATTAAAAAAAAACACATATTACTAAAACCAATATTAATCAACCATCACTGGGCGTTTAAACAAAAAAAGTCGTCCCAGTCATAAGGCTTTCCTGCATTCCAACAAGGCGCCTCTCGGGCTCCTGACATGCCAAAGATCGAGCTTGGCTTTGGTGTTTTTAAGCAAAAGGCCAAGCATTGGAAGTGGAATATCTTACTTGGTACATCTGGACATATATATATATATATACACATGAATAAATGAATACATAAACAAATAAATATATACATAATATATATATATACATATATGTATGCACGCAATCGATAGCCCTTCATCATCTTCATCACTTCTTCGGGGCGACACCCTCTCCCTATTTATACCAGAGCTAAATTACCAGAGGGAACCAAGCAAGGCTTTTATTGATCAAGACTTGACGAATCATCCTACGGACTTCAATTGACTCAGATTCTATGTCCAAATTTTTTGGGGCATCTATGAGACGAATTCAGAAACAGGCTTCAGTAACCTTCGGTATCTTGATCTTGACATCGGCAAGGATAATCATCACAGTTTGGGTTTCCGTTCAGAACTGTTGAGGTGGGAACGGCTTCATTTGTTCCCAGGATTGGTTTATGTTTTCCTGGAGGGTTTTCCCATCAAACTCTGACTTGCCGGTCCAAACTCAAAGGACCAGAACATATAGTAGTAAACAACAGTTGTCTTTGATACTAGAAAGGGTACCTTGCAACTACGCCAAGAAATCACCAACAGGTAAACTCTACCGGCTACATTGTTTGGCTAATACCTGGAACCCCAAACGACCAGAAATCAATGGTGGATTCCCAAAACAACAATTTCTTAGGGATTCTTCACATCCAGACCATTACCATAGGGTATAGGGATTTACAACCATGGCCATTTTTGGTTGTTTGGGGTTCTAGGCATTGAGAAACATGGGGAACCAATGTCGACACCAGCATGAACCAGCTGATTGTCGTGCCGACCAGCAAACAAGATGGTCATCCAATGTCTGCGAATAAACATATTGTTGCTAAACAACTGTGGAGGGAGCTACTCTATTATTATTTAATAAATTATTGTATAATACATATATAACCTTGAAACATGGCATGTGTGATAAATTAAATTAAATCATAGTCTGATTATCATGTAAAACTGGTAAATTTCCGTGGCTATAACGAATCCTCAGTTTTCCATGTCGTCCTCCACGCTCGGGCGTCTGCGCTGTAGCAGGCGTTGGAAGAACCCCCTTGGGAAATGGATGCGCGCGTTTTGTTTGTTTGATTTTTTTTTCTTGTTTAATACTTGTGATTATATGGAAACAAATGCAAAGAAATCTGTATATGATGCAGACATAATTTTTAATATACATGTAGACAGGTTTATGTCTTTCGTGTATCATACATAGCATATATCATACATGCATATACATGTCATGTCATGTTCTGTTCTGCATGTCTAAAACAGCGCTGTGTCAATTTTACTGTGAGCATCAGATCAACATACGGCGCCAATGACTTAAGCTTGAAACTGAAGGCACAAGGGGCTTGAAACACAAAAAGTTTCAACAATTGCAAGGCACAGTACCTTTTCCACTCTATACACACATCTTGTTTTTCGATCACCGTGATATAGATTGGAAAACTATGGACAACTTCTATTATCGCACTATAATCATATCACGATATCACAGCGTACAAAGATCTTGATTCATTTTGTGTGCCATCACGATCTTCATCTTCATCATCAAAACCCATCACTGAGTCTTTTAGACTCCCCTCTGGTCACTCCTATGGTGATACCGTTCTGAAAATGAACCTGGAATCCAAACATGTTCATGCACAACTATTATATAAAGAAAATCCAGGGCCCACTCTTTCAGGTTCGATGTAAAATTGCACATGTTTTCATCTTGGCATACTTTCTCAACACATTGATATGATTACATTTTGGTACTCCAACATAGCCATGATGAATGGCCCGCTTGTAGATGATCTATCCACTACAGATGGTGGTTTTCCACAGCTGTTCGATTATCAGAAGGCATCTCCTCCCCTCTCTCTCCATCGGTGCTAAATCTCCCTGCCCACCGGAACCAAAGGGCATCTGCTTACATAGTCTATTTTAATCTTGTCCCATCAAATTTGCAAAAGCATCACCCACAACATTACCTACCATCACCAGTTGGTTGAACCTGTTGAGGGGTGTAGAACAATTTTTGCTGGTTTCTTTCACATTTTTTCCGCTATCTTCGACGATTTAGCTGGCTAAACCAATGTTTGGTGCTGCAACCACCATCTTCACTGATGAAATTATTATTTTTTGCTGGTGAAACTCCCATTTCCCTTGGTTCAACCGAACATTGCTGTTGCTGAATCATGTTGAATCAACATTTTGCTGCCCAAGTCAAGGTAAGTCATTGTTAAATCCCAATCGTTTTTTGCCCATTGACTCCCATTGAATCCCAAGTTACCCTCTGGTAAATAAGCATAGCTATTGAAAATGGCCCAGTCGAAATAGTGGATTCTCCCATTAAAAAATGGTGGATCTTTCCATAGTTTTTTGTATGTTTACCAGAGGGTATCACCCACATTTCACCACGAACCCAGCCACTTCTTGCTTCCCTTGCTGCTCTTTCGGCTCCCTCGACTTCCTCAGAGGTGATCGACTTGGATATGGATCCAGGAACCCTCGAGGAGCGAATCTTTGGGACTTCACCGTATAACAGATTATACCCCATTTAAACCACCGGTTATATCAGTTTTTTGGTGGCCTTTAGACTTTTTAACAGTATAACCACTTATATAGCCACCCAACAAATGATTCAACCATATTTAGCCCATGAAAAAACTCATGTTTCACAAACCCAAATAGGCGTGAACACAGAAAAATGGCCAGGACCAATAAGGAGGACAAGGATACATATTTGATATGCCCGCTTCCCATACAAAATGAACCTGGAAACTCTTGGTTTAAGTACTGGGCCTATTCATTTTGAGCACCTATATCGGGGGAAATCGGTGTCTTTCATGGATTCAAACTGTCCCAACAATAAATGGGTGATGGAGATCATCATGCACACAAAGTGAACATTTCAAGGCAGCAGCCAGAGCATAAATTGTCAGTGACAAATCCTTTATATATAATGGTTTGCAACCGGTTGATTTCAGCCTAGTAAAACTTATGTATATATATATAGTCAACAGCTAAAACTATTCACAGACTAGGTTTTAATCTAGAGTCTAGAGTGTATGATTGTTGCAATCGAAACAGCCCTTGCTGCCAAGTGTCTGCCTGAGTTCCCGGAAGACCTTGGGAGACTTTGAGGGGACAAATCTTCTGCTTGGTACAGTGGTCAGGAATTTTCTTGGGAAAAAACGTGGGTGGGTTACCTGAAAATTGGTTCCTCAATAGTGAGATTGGTGATTTCACCCTCCCGAAAGACATGAAAGTGGGGAAAAAATCATCCGATGGATGTTGTTTAGCCAGTCATGGGGATACTACCATGGAGAAAGCAACATTCCATGAGATTTAATCACCAATGCATGGAGAAACATCGCTGAATTCTTGTACCCAGTATCTTCAGTTTGTCAGTCTCTTTGCCCAAAATTGCAACAATAAGTGCCTTTAAAATTACCAATGCTAAGCAGTAAACACAGCTGGAACCACATACGACCACATCACCCCTTAGAAATGACTCATCAATTAATATAAGCAGGACCCAGGGCTTATCAGAATCATATAGCGTGTTGCTCAAATAATCCCTGTGACTTCGGTTAATTGAACTGATACTTGTCGCATACGGGACAATTACAGCAACCTCAGTATAGCAAACCTCACAAAGACATCACCATAAAAAATGGTTTAGTGGGAGGAATAACCAAAACCACCAGAACTATTCTATGTACACCATCAGTCGGGGCCATTTTTTGTCGGCAAACTCCGAGCCAAAATCTGACGAACTGACCTTCATGAAAGTTCTTGCATTGATTGATCCGTCTTGGGGCAAACTCCAAGCTCGCATCCAGGACGCCAAGGAACTTGGCTTTAGCTTTGTCCAATTAATAGTTGGAATGACCAAATGATTCCATCATACTAGCGTATGATCACACAAATTGGTGCGAAACCAGAGTCAACGCTTATTAACAAAAAGGTTTTCTGAGGGAAATACTGGAATAACCCGGCTCCATTTGACTGGGACAGGATGTGGCATGATGTGGCATGTATAACATTGCATTTAAGCAACCCCATCTATATTACGTGATGCAATAATTTAGTTCACCAACCCAAAAAGAGCAAAATAGTTCTGCCAGCTCTGCCATTGGATTCCTCCAATCTCAACCATTGACGTCAAGACGTGAGGTCACAATTAGTCCGGAGTTTTGATACACCAATTGACCTCATAGCAATCCTATTCTCAATGGATTGGTTTAAGGCAAAATCTTAACCGGAAACCATAGATTTTCCCATGAAGATCATGGGGTTTCCTGTAAAATTCCCTTAAACCAATCCAGTGATATTCAAGTGTCAATCCAATAACCAGTAGCCACAATATTATCTGGCTAAGTTTTTTAGCATTTCAACCTGAAAAATCCAGTGACGTCACAGTGAGTTCCTATATACAACACATAGCAACCCCAACATAGATAGGAAAGTGGGAACCCTAGAAAAGTAATGTATTTATGATACATATATATTATATTATTTATATTTGTTTATATTTATATGTACATTTATATAATTATTTACATTTATGTTTATATGTACAAATGTGATCTATAACATCCCGGAAACAATTCTCTATCTTTTCGGTTGGTGCTTTCAAAATACTCATTACGATAATCCCCAACTGACCCCGCAGCCACACCCTCGGCGCACAAAGGTGCAACGATCCGCGACTCGTACGACGGAACAATCGAGGAGATCTGGGTGAGAGGCTGCCAGTGCCTGGGATTCATGTATTAAATCAATCCAAATCTATTGGATTTATCACCATTTTCCCTGATTTTCCGAATAAAATGGCTATAAAATTTGGGCCCTGCTAGATAGCTAAGTTGGTGAACATAACTCCAATAACTATGGTTTATGATACTTATAACTATAGTTACTGGGGTTTATAAACAGTCTTAAAACTGGGGGGCCCACATTGTACAATTGGGGGTATATGCTAAAATATACCCATTTCCAGAGAAACTTATTTGTACAATCACCACTGTGTCATTCTGTACCACAGCAATGGAGGCCCCGGATGCAAAGGTCGCCAATGGAAACCACTTTTGGTCGCCAAGGTCATGCCAAAATCTCTGTACTTTGGACCTTCCTATTGTCGACCAGCCAAAATTCGAGTCCAATCACATCGAGACTGACTGGGGTCAACAAAAGCCTCCACGAGGCTGCAACCAGGGAAAATCTAGGAACTTTTTGCGTGTCATTGCGTGTCACTTGTAGCCCTGGTGGCTTCAAATGGAGGCCACTTAGGGTTGAGTGGCAGAGTGGTTTCCAATGGGAGCCGCTTCTTAGAACGTGTCGCGTAGTTTTGGGAAGGTGTCAAACGTGTCATTTCGCGTATGAAAAATCACAAACTTGTCAAGTTTTAACAGATCAGATTGTTTTTTTATTTGGTTGGTTTTGGAATACAATGCTCTGGTCCTGGGAACCCCGCGGCCCCGCGGCTCAAAGAATGAAAACTAGCTACTGTTTTTGCCTTAATTAGGTACATGGCCCCTCTATGTCCAAACGACAAGATAGAATTCATATATGGTCTTTTGAATGCCTTTGTGCTCAAGTCACCTCAAGGGGTATCCAATTGGAACCACTTAGGGACCTTAGCTTTAAGAAACCAACGAAACCACTAATTTATAGTAAATAAAACCAAGCGACCAAGCCATACTAGGTATGCATAACATAAATGTATTAAACATGTTTAAGTATATGTAAATATTTATATACGTATGTATGTATGTATGTAAATGTAAATGTAAATGTAAATGTAAATGGAAATGTAAATGTAAATGTATGTATGTATATGTATGTATGTATGTATGCATGCATGCATGCATGTATGTATGTATGCATGCATGTATGTATGTATATGTATGTATATGTATATGTATGTATGTATGTATGTATATGTATGTATGTATGTATGTATGTATATGTATGTATGTATGTATGTTTGTATGTATATGTATGTATATGTATGTATATGTATGTATGTGTATGTATGTGTATGTATGTGTATGTATGTATGTATGTATGTATGTGTGTGTGTATGTATGTACGTACGTACGTACGTACGTACGTATGTATGTACGTATGTATGTGTGTGAAAAATTGAAAAATATAAATATAAATAAGTATAAATACATATAGAGATATAAGCTAAATATATACATATATTGGAAGACAAAACCAATAAAATATATAGACACACCTGGTTTGGGTGGGAAATCCCCGACCAAGCTGGAGGTTTATAACTGAGAAAATGACCGAACTTAGTAGATATAAATAATGGATTTTCTAGCAACCCATGTTGAAGTACTGGAGGGCATGTAAATTACCCTAAGATATAGTAAAACAATAGTAAATATGAGATTGAAGGAAATTTATCGCAAATGCCAGCTGTTCAAAATGATTTCCATAAAATCAAAACAACATAAGTAAGGCAAATTCTGTTTGAAACTGCGTGAAACTGCACCATATGACCAGGCAAGTTCTCTGAAACATGTTTTATGAACGAAACTGGGACTAAAATTGTTTTTTTAACGGAATTCAGCCGGGTGGTAGGTACGAGTACAGTACATGATGGATGGACCATTTCTAAACTAGATTCAAGTTATGCTCTTGACAGTTTCAAAACAAATCAACGAGGCTCTTGGCATTTCCAAGCCAAGATAATAAAAAACACATTTCCTGTGGCCCCCATGTACTCCCGCACAGCCGTTTGTCCTGGGCGCTTTTCTTCTCTTTCCAAAGTGAGCTCGCGAAGTTAGAAAAGTGTCTACAGAGATATGAAAACAAGTCCTAATTTCCCATATGCCATCCCCCGAACTTACACCTTGCCATGAGCTGGGGGTTGGAAAGGCTGGCCGCCAAAGAAAACAGAGTACCGTCGCCCGTAGCGAACTCGGTCCTTTTTACCTTTCTCATTCGCAGGTGCAACATCTCATGCGCAAAGTCTTTTCGGAACCTTGGGCACCATTTGCCACAAGGCATGGCGATGATTGCATCGCCATTGCCATTGGTAGACATAGCTTCATATCTCAGCATTCAAAAGCTTGTTCTTTGCATTCTTTGTATGGACACTGGTTGGAATGAAATCTTTACATTTGTCCAACGTCTGTGTGCCAACTGTGATCTTACGACCATTTTGTCTTCTCACTTCTCTGGCAAACTCTAGCAAGAAGACATGTTGAAGACATGTTGAGCGGTAGCACGAAAGAAGCTAGCGGTATGTACAACCATGTAAAGAAGACATGTGGAGCGTAGCATGAATGATGTTGGCGGTATGTGCAATCATCTAAAGAAGACATGTGGAGCGTAGCATGAAAGACGTTAACCCCCCCGCCCCCCCATCTAAAGGTATGTGTGATCATGTCAAGAACACGGGTGGAGCATAGCATCGAACATGTGATCAAGTGCACAAAGACGTTAACATCCCCCCCGCTCGAAAGTAATGAATGTGATCATGTAAACAAGCCATGTGTGGATGCAAATAAAAGTCATGAAAGTATTAAAAAAACAGCAAAAACACCGAGTTCGCTACGGGCGGCGGTAGCAAAAAGATAAAGACCGAGGCATCCCAATGTGTGGGGGTTCTCTTCCTCCACTCCCAAGCATATCCAACCGCTGGGGGATTCCCCCAGTCCCATGCATCCAAGCAACGACGCGAGGCTTTGGAGATGGAAGATTGTTGCGAATTGATCGACAGTTCCTTCACCACCTGAAAAGTCCCATCGCAGCAGAAGGCTCATGGGAAAACAGTCCCAATTACCTGGAGAAATTCATCTCAGCCCTGGATGAATAAGTTCATTAATTATTTTTTTTGGGGGGGGTACCACCAAAAAATAGAGATCATGAAATTATCACTAAACTTGGTACGCACCCCTATGAATACATTGGAGGGCAATGAAAGGGTGGGTGCACATGTTCTTGATTCATGTGAGAAAAGAATTTGAAAAGTCCATGTTCGAATGATTTCCTTTACTAAGCGTTACTTTGAAAGTGAGGACATTGTGAAGTTGCAAAACATACCCCGCAACCACCAGGATTTGGGTGATTGCTCGTGCTGGAAAGTCATGTGATCTTGAGTTGACCTTTTTAGAACGCTCGGCACTGATGGGCACCACTTGCGGCGCTACATGAAATCCACACTGCGAACAACACTTTTCGCAATGGCACTCATGATGATGATGATGATGATGATGATGTCGATGGTAAATTATATGTATACACTTACTATGTCTGTCATTTGCTGCTGACAGCTGCCCATGGCTGCCATGCTGAGACAAGCAGCCGTCAACTCCTCTTTGGAACCCACCAGGGATCTGAAGAAATTGCCTCCACCGTGGAAATCCATACGTTTTCGGTGGACAATGATATACACACACAAACATGGACTAATAAACAAATAAATACATCAATAAATATAAGTAAGTGTATATTTAGATATATATATATATATATATATTAATGTATTAGTACCACGTATCATGTATTAAACATGTTTACTTAGTATACTTGTTGCTCTAACGGAGGCTGTATGGAAAATCATGGCCAATCCATACCTGGCTGCTTTGACCCCTTAACATTCGTCAATTGGGGACCGTCCTCCTCGGGCGAGTATTTTGGGTCTTGTTATCGTGAGCACAATATATGAACAGAATGATGCTCAATCTTGTACTGCTTTATGGTAAGGACATTGAACTAATCTGGTTTATTTATAGAACCTTAGAGGACACCACCCTGTATGAACAAGCAAGCCTCTAGAAACCTCGAGGCTTTTTTACTTGGGATGGGATTATTTCAGCGTAGTTTGGGCTTATACAGTGGCATCAACTACCGATCAGTTGCCATTGACGGGACCATTTGAGTATGCAAGTTGCGTCCATTTGTATAACTAGTGGGTGTAGCGTGGTTATCAGAAAAGGCTTGCAGTGGAACCTCCCCTAATGAACCTACTGAGATGAACGTCGAAAGGGGGATCAGGGGAGAAGGCATGGAGACAAGTTCTACCAAACCAGCGGCGAGACGGCGATTGGGTGAATGTGGTTCAATCATGTTCAATCCCTTTTCTTGGGCTTACGTGGTCGTTTCAGTATTGGCATCTGGTTGGTGGTTTCAACCCTACCCCCTGAAAATTGATGGAGTGAAAGTCAGTTGGGATGATGACATTCCCAATATATGGAAAAATAAAAATTGTACCAAACCACCAACCAGGCATTCCTGTTGTGTACCCTTCAGATGGTTAGATAAATATATTGATAGAAATATGCAAACCTTTAACCACCCCTGTGCACCAGCCTGCGCTTGAGCGTTGTTGCGCGGATATACCTCCAGAGATGGATGGCGATAGACATCATGCACCAGGCATCTGGTGGGGCAAAACGACAACAAACTATTCTGTATTCCATTATATTCCGTCAATATACATCAAAATTGATCTGCTCTTCACTCTCCAGCCTTTCTCTATCTCTTCATAAGTAGCTGGCAAATAACTCGTGCTGCAATCATAGAGCTATAAGCGCAGCAATGGTTGCTTATACAACATCTTGTAACGATTATTTTGGCGTAGAGAATCATCCCAATAAGAAGAACATATGTCACCATGACTCGTGGAATTATCCACATTCTCAGCTGAGTTAAAACAATATTTTCCTTACCAGGCCTTACCATATTGATTGGTTCCATTCTGTTTGCATGCATGTTGAATGGGGCGATCCTCATAGTACACTATGATGGAACTTGAAGATGGTGGTCTGGAATTACCCTACCGGGCATATAACGCACCCGTTGGATTTGATTTGGCATGTGTATATATATATATATATTTATATGTTTCTTTATATATAGCTATTTGAATAGATTCCACCGTTCCTGAGCAGTGGACCTCCCCGCAAGGATCTTGTTTGTGGGGTTCAACACGATTTTCCGATTTTCAGCTAGGACAAAAACTTGCAAGAACCTGCCCAACCATTTTGGTTGTTGATGAATGGCACCAATATGGAAGCAACCCAAAATGGGGTGAGATGGCACCCTTCAAGCCGCTTGGTATGACTCACCTTAGTTCACCTTCCCCTCTATCCCCTTCTTGGTGATCATGGCTGATTTCCCCATGAAACCCTTCATTGATAGGTGGTTGAAATTGAACATATAGCCATACAGAGCTTGTGACCTACCTCCGGGTCCCCGCCAAGTTACGGCGATGCTTCCTGCCGGGTGTCAAAGGCATGGCGCCCAGCCCAAAAGGCTTATCCAACACATACCCTCCGATAATCAAACATGGCCGTTGAACATCTCCTACAAGTCCGGGCAAATTATCATATTTCACTAATCTGAAATAGGGTTTCTTTGGGACAATTCCCCTTACTAACCATCATTCCAGTGAGGTCCCAGTGAGGTCGTTATACTTTGTCCAGATAAATGGATATGTTTATGGTAAGTCCATCTATAAATGTGGATTTGTCATCCAAAATTGAAGTTTATAGCTAGGAAAATCAACCAAATGGTGGATCTGCCATTGCCATCTTAATTTATATGTATATATATATATACATATGTACATGTATATGTGTGTGTAAAAAATGTAAATATTAAATAAATAAATATAAATATATATATATATATACATTTAAAAACATGCATAGAGATACAAAGAGATTGACAGATGTAATGGTTTATTCATTGCAGTAGACCCAGGCCCATGGCCCATTCTCCGACTTGTATCCACATGTGCCATTGGTTGAAACCACCGGCCTTTTTTTGCTGATGAAACCCCCGGTGCCACAGAACATCCTGAAGTACATATGGCTTGTACCCTCCGGTACTCAACCAAGGGACAATCATCGAACTGGCCAATTCTCCAGCATTCCACTTATGTTGACCAGAAGGTATTTACCAGGTATTTAGCTGGTATTTCACTAATTTTTGCAGGATTCGTTTTTTTTTTGGCCCCCATCCCACTGTGATCTTCGTCTCCTGCGGCCCTTCTTCTTCGGGGTCGGCGGAGTCTCCGGCGGTTCGGGCTGGGACCAAGCCTCTTCCACCTGTTTTCATCCGGAGAAGAGACGGTAAAGAAGGGGTAGGTATGCACATTATACAATAAACATATGTGTATACATGAATGAATAAACATAAATTAATTAATTAATTAACTAAAATAGACAATATATATATATGTGTGTGTTAGCACATGCACAAACAAACAAAGAGAGAGAGAGTGATTTATAACATATATATATATGTGTATACATACATATATTGAATTGAAGTGGATGGTTGGGCGAATGTTAGATTTTGATCGCTCAAATATGTGAATTTAAGATGGTCTCAACAACGAACAATATGCAGCAAATGTAGGGCTGGCATGCGTTAGCCACTACTCAACATAGCTGGTTGTAATGCCTCCATTCTTTGTGGGTAAACATCCTTTATCACTGGATGCTTCGAGGGGAGGAAATGGGAGGAAACTATATTGTTCTCACAAACGACATCATCATGCCAGTGAACCGGGGCAAAAGGAAAACCATGTTTTGTGTCCGAAGGGAAATATTGGTATAGTATTTTTACACCCTACGGGTACAGTATGTGGGTTACTCAGAACAAAATCCAAGTGGTCGACCATCATATTTCCACATCAACATTGAGCTATTGTCACCCCACTTAATCCAGCATAAACCAATCATGGATCCCCCATATTAAATGGATTTCGCCAATCATGGTATTGGGACAAACCCTCCATCATTAGCTGGCTTAAATGCTGATGTTTGCTGGTAAACTCCCATTTTCTTGGCTGGTAGCATCCCCCAACAAGAATCCTAACAACCCCTAAGGGATGCCGACCTCCTTCACCTCATCTTTCTCTTTTGGTCTTCTCATAGGGCCCACCTTGGCATTTGCCACTTGGCACTCAAAAGATTTCGGAGATGACTGGAAAAACGACCAACAAATGCGGAGATTCAAACTCTTCAAAGCGTTTAAAAATCAAAGGCTCGACGGGAAATATGCAATGTGTCCCAGTTCGCAACTCAGTTCACCCAGTGATTGCGGTCATTGGCGCTAGCGCTGTGCTGATCTTTGGGGTACCATCCAGTAACTTACCATATGGACACCTGGCAGCCTTTGCAGAACGTTTTCAACGGAAAACTTTGGGTTTTCCAGATCAATATGAATCGGTTGGAGGCAAAACCTATTTGTTTCATTGTGTTTCTCTGGCAGATCCCAGGTTTTTCATACGCTTAACCCGACTTTGCCACCATGGGTCATGATAAGAGAAGACCTCGTCTTCACTTTTGAATGCCAGGCCCTGAGTCGATGTGCCACGAAAAGAACACTAGTAGAGAGTTGCTGCCAATGGAAATTTATGATGAAATTGGAAATTGGGATTATAAACAACACAAAGTAAGGGAATCATGATTGAATCATGGAACTTTAATATTTTCCCCCACCTGTCAGGTGAGAGTTGTTAGATTTTATGTCCGCTCTACTCCTGCCGCACCTCAACTGCAAGTGCTAGATCGCAGTGGTCCCCCCCGGGTCCGAACAAGCCCAGGATCAGAGTGGCCCTTGCCGGGCCTATAGCTCAACTGCAAGCGCGAGATCGCAGTGGTCCCCGCCGGACCCGAACAGCAAGCCCCGGATCAGAGTGGTCCCTGCCGGAAACGAACAGCAAGCGCTAGATCACAGCGGTCCCTGCCGGACCTCAACTGCAAGCGCGAGATCGCAGTGGTCCCCGCCGGACGCGAACAGCAAGCTCAAGATCAGAGTGGTCCCCACTGGACCCGATAAGCAATTTCTAGGATAGAATGCCGAATGGAATGTCAAAATATATGTCGCATAGAATGCCAGATAGGATGTCAAAATAGATGTCAGATATGCCAGACAGAATTTCAGACTATGTGTCAGATATAATGTCACAATATATGTCAGATAGACTGTCAAAATATGCCAGATAGAATGCCAGATAGGATGTTAAAATATATGTCAGATATGCTATGCTAGATAAAATTTCAGAATATATATCAGATAGAAGGCCAGATAGAATGACAAAATATTTGTCAGATATGCCAGATAGACTTTCAAAATCTATGCCAGATAGAATGTCACAACATATGTCAGATAGACTGACAGAAAATATGCCAGATAGACTGTCAGAATATATGTCGGATAGAATGCCAGATAGAACGTCAGAATATATACCAGATAGAATGCCAGATAGGATGTCAAAATAGATGTCAGATATGCCAGACAGAATTTCAGAATATATGTCAGATAGAATGCCAGATAGAACGTCAAAAAATGTCAGATATGTCAGATATAATTTCAAAATATATGCCAGATAGAATGTCGCAATATATGTTAGATAGACTTTCAGAATATATGCCAGATAGAATGCCAGATAAACCGTCGGAATATATGTCAGATAGAATGCCAAATAGAATGCCAGAATATATGCCAGATAGGATGCCAGAAAGGATGTGAAAATATATGTCAGATATGCCAAATAGAATTTCAGAATATATGTCAGATGGAATGTCACAATATATGTCAGATAGACTGTCAGAATATATGCCAAATAGAATGCCAGATAGACTGTCAGAATATATATCAGATAGAATGCCAGATAGAATGTCAGAAGATACGTAGGCCAGATAGAATGTCAAAATGTATGTAAGATATTAGAATGCCAACTAGGCTGTCAGAAAAAAAAAACATGTCAGATAGAATGCCAAATAGAATGTCAGAATAGTTGTCAGATAGAATTTTAGGTAACATGTCAGAATATATGTCCAAATTTTTGTCTTGAGATGCCATGGTGGGGATCGCTCGAAGTAAAGCAATTTAATGTGATTTAAGCGACAGCCATGCATTTGGAACCATCAAGAAAATGCTATGCCCCTCCGGAAAGCTCACTGGGAACCCAACAAAGTGATGAATACCATCAGGTTGGTGAAATTGAACCCAGGATTAGGCCTATGTAAATTTTGGCACGCGCTGGAATATATAAAGGTTTTTGTATTTGTTGCGTTTTTTTTCGGTCATCAACTGATTTGAGATGCTTTTTTACGTGGTTGCCTGGTTGGTGCTTTCTTAAAGGCCAATTCCAAACATTGCGTCATCTCAACATGTCTCAACCCATCATCCCTTTCGCATGGCTGAACAACCAATACATATTTGAAAACCCCGACCAGTAGCTCTTTCGTAGACCCATAGTTCAGCATTACGAGTGTGTGTCTGGGAATTTGGAAGGTCGGACATCTTCACACTCCAGGAGGTTAAAAATTATAAACAGTTTGGCCGGGTGAACCCTTATGCCATGGGTAGAATTGCCTCCCGGTTATCAAACATGGCTCGGTGGGAAATCAATGGATGTTTTTAGATGAGAGCATCTACAACTGATCGTTTTCCGTTGCCATGTTTGATTACCGAGGGCAGGCCGACTTCCACAAAAAATAGTGGGATATTATATCGATATGATCTATGACTCCATAACTTGAGAGATCTAATCCATTAAGGAACCAGTGACGACGATTTTTTGCTGATACCAGATACAAGGGGAAATATTTCAGGTGTGTGGTTCAATCCCGAACTCTGGTGCATCCCCTTTTGATCCATTTTGGGCATTGCCAGCAACAAATTGGCAGGATCATCCCGTTTAGCACTAGGTCATGGATTTAGTTTGATATAGTTCCTATGGTCATTGTTATGGTATAATCCATTCCCCAAGTGCTAAAAACATGTGAAAACTAGAGTACACTTTAAATTATGGGTAATTTGACGTTGGCCAATTTGACTTTAATTATCCCCTTTAGAGAACAACTTAAAGATCAAGGTCCCATTTGGGGGTCTCACCCCCAACTAATAACAACTAGTTAACACCGGAGCGTTTTTTTTATTAGGGTCCTTCCTTTAAAGTCAAAACTTTAGTTTTGGTTTATGAAAGTTTTTAGGTTGATATAAGGGGAAATCTTAGAAATCATTTTTTGACCGTATTTTAACGATTGTAAAAATGAATGTAGTCCATTTTGAATTAAACACAATTTTACAAATTGATGTTTTTAAGTTCAATATTGGGAAAACTTCGAAATCCAAATATGGCAATATTTGAAATTATAGATTTCAAAAATGAAGTCCAGCCGATTTTGAAATAGAAAAATATATGTTTCTGCATTTTTTGGTTTTGAATTTGGTTTTAGGGGGAAGTTTCGGGGCACTTCAGCATTGGGAAGGTGTTGGTATTATGAACCTACCATTGTCGTCTATCTCTGGCTTGAACCTACCATGAAAACCTACCATCAACCGGGTCCATGTTCGACCACAAAGCGATCAAATGTAAATCGTTATTTGGTATTCATTCAACATGTATTCCCCACAGGCCTCAGATTGTCCCAGTTCCATGCATCCAGCGACGTTCTATGACGTTCTGATTGGTGTTGAACCATTAGATCACAGCGTTTATCCCCGCTATGTCCCATAAAACCTGCATGATGTTCCGGCTTGAAATTGTAATCGACCAGCTTGACAGTCAACCCCATAGTTGCCCCCGAAAAAAAAATACTTTACTTCGTGTGATCCCCACCATGACACTTATACATGTTCTTACTGGCACATCTTCTGGCATTCTATCTGACATATCTTCTGACATTCTATTTGGCATTCTATCTGGCATATCTTCTGGCATTCTATCTGGCAAATCTTCTGGCATTCTATCTGGCATTCTATCTGACATATCTTCTGGCATTCTATCTGGCATTCTATCTGACATATCTTCTGGCATATATTCTGACATATCTTCTGGCATTCTATCTGGCATTCTATCTGGCATTCTATTTGGCATATCTTCTGGAATATCTTCTGGCATATCTATCTGGCATATCTTCTGGCATATTTTCTGGCATTCTACCTGGCAAATCTTCTGGCACTCTATCTGACATTTTATCTTCCTACATGAGGTCCGGCAGGGAACACTTGGCGTGGATACTCCCGGTTGAGGTCCGGCAGGGAACACTGGGCGTGGATGGTCGTGGTTGAGGTCCGGCAGGGAACACTGGGCGGGGATGGTCGTGGTTGAGGTCCGGCAGGGAACACTGGGCGTGGATACTCGCGGTTGAGGTCCGGCAGGGAACACTGGGCGGTGATGGTCGTGGTTGAGGTCCGGCAGGGCACACTGGGTGTGGATGGTCGTGCTTGAGGTCCGGCAGGGAACACTGAGCATGGATGGTCGTGGTTGAGGTCCGACAGAGAACACTGTGGATCGCGGGTCGCAGTTGGACGAGGAGGACGAGGAGGACGACGAGGAGGAGGACGACGAGGAGGAGGAGGAGGAGGAGGACGAGGACGAGGAGGACGAGGAGGAAGCAACTGACATAAAATCTAACAACCCTCACCTGGCAGGTGGGGAAAAAAAATACTTTACTTCGTGTGATCCCCACCATGACATTTATACATTTTCTTACTGGCAAATCTTCTGGCATTCTATCTGACATATCTTCTGACATTCTATTTGGCATTCTATCTGGCATATCTTCTGCATATCTTCTGGCATTCTATCTGGCAAATCTTCTGGCATTCTATCTGGCATATCTTCTGGCACTCTATCTGACATATCTTCTGGCATTCTATCTGGCATATCTTCTGGCATATATTCTGACATATCTTCTGGCATTCTATCTGATCTGGCATATCTTCTGGACATATCTTCTGACATATCTTCTCTGGCATATCTTCTGGCATATCTTCTGGACATATCTATCTGGCATATCTTCTGGCATATTTTCTGGCATTCTATCTGGCAAATCTTCTGGCATTCTATCTGGCATTCTATCTGGCATATCTTCTGGCATATTATCTGGCATTCTATCTGGCATATCTTCTGGCATATCTTCTGGCACATTCTTTCTGACATTCTTTCTAACTTTCTTCTGCACATTCTTTGTCCCATATCTTCCTACATGAGGTCCGGCAGGGAACACTTGGCGTGGATACTCGCGGTTGAGGTCCGGCAGGGAACACTGGGCGTGGATGGTCGTGGTTGAGGTCCGGCAGGGAACACTGGGCGAGGATGGTCGTGGTTGAGGTCCGGCAGGGAACATTGGGCGTGGATGGTCGTGGTTGAGGTCCGGCAGGGAACACTGGGCGTGGATGGTCGTGGTTGAGGTCCGGCAGAGAACACTGTGGATCGCGGGTCGCAGTTGAGCAAGGACGACGAGGACGACGAGGACGACGAGGAGGACGAGGAGGAGGAGGAGAGGAGGACGAGGCAGGAGGAGGCGGAGGAGGAGGAGAAGGAGGAGGAGAAGGAGGAGAAGGAGGAGGAGGAGGAGGCAACTGACATAAAATCTAACAACCCTCACCTGGCAGGTGGGGAACAAGTTTTTGCTGGTTACCATAAACTAACATTGATGTGCAAAACCCACTATTTGTACACCATTGTCCTAGGGAAACCAAGGCTTTTCCATCTCTGGGTAAATTGTCATATTTCACGAACCTGAAAAAATTAAAGCATATACACCAGTAGTACCCGCACGAGGCGGGGCGGAAGTTGCCTTAGGGATATAATGGGATATACTATAAGACCTTTCTCATCTATAAAACTTGCATGCGCGCCGTGCGCCAGCCAGGCCCGTGCGTGCGTGCTTTGTGCGAAGCTGTTGCAGTTGTTGTCCAAGAACATGACCTGCGCGCAACCCCGGTGCAATGCAACGCCAAACGAAGACTTTCCTCACACTTCACACTGCACTCTTCACACCCTGCAATTCGCACTTCACACTTGCACTTTACACACTCGACACTTCGTCTCATCTCAAATCATGTGAGCTCTTCTCACCTCATCTCAGCTCTTCTCATCTCATCCCATCTCTTCTCACATGTCATCTAAGTAAGCTCTTCTCAACTGTGTTCACCTCATCTGAGCACTGTCAGCACACAGAAGCTTGAGACACAGATGCATTTACACTTTACAAAGGAAAAGCCTCTAGAAAGTATCTTTGTACTACAAAGCTTAGCTCATCTCCCCTGTTCTTCTGTATCCCAAAAAAGTTTTGTTAACACACACAAGCTCCTGTGCAAATTGCACACCTAGACCATATTATATTTACAGTATTGTGGTAACTCACGCGAGATGTTCATGCATTGCGGCAAAGCTTAACTACAGTATATCTTACGTTAATTGTAATCTCTCAATCAGACACACAGAGTCCAGCGTCAACAGCTGCATGCTTTTTTCAGCATTGCACTATGTCTATGTTTTGGCAGCTCTGTCGGCCCGCACTGGCACGAAAGGCTGGACAGCGTGATCCGCAAACACTCGTTGGCGGTCTGGGTGCTGATCATGGCACTTCCCGCAGCAAATCAGGCAAGAAGTTTTCACCATCCACAATGACATTGCGGACCCAAGCTGCAAAAGACAAAAATATTACACAAAGAGCCGCGGCAGCGAGGAACCGTGATGCAGCCATTACAATGCGTTTTCCAGCATCCCGTGGCAAACCCGCATGTCTCGACATACATGGCAACAAAACGTGACAGCAATCATGTGGCCATTCCAGCAGCAAGGAACCTTGATGCAGCCTGACAATGCGTTTTCCAGCATCTCGTGGAAAAGCCGCATGTCTCGACACACATCGCAACAAAACGTGACAACAATCATGTGGACATTCCGCTGCGATCTGCAACCACAGATTCCAAAACACCCTATACCGACGTACGCACAAACACACCTAAAGCAGCTTGAAGCCACCGTTACAGTGCGGCAAAAAAAAAAAGGCAAACCGACCGCAGCCGCACCCGCCGCACGCACGAGGTACCTTTCATCGCCGACCGCAGCCACTTTACATGGAAAAACACACGGTTTCGTGCTCCGGCTTCCTCCCCAGCACAAGCCCCATGCAACGTTCATGCAGCCAACACAATGCATTTTGCAGCACGACGTGGCTAACCCGCATATATCTACGCACATGGCAACAGAGCATGACAAGAATCATGCCGCCATTCCTTCAAAGTCTCACAGTCTCACACCACACTTCACTGAGTGTATAATTATGTGATGTAAAGTCTCACACCACCCTTCATCAGGTAAAAGTCATCCGTAACTCGGAAGATTGCTTCCCAACTTGCTTTGATTAGGGCCATTGGGGGATGATTCAATGTTTCCCCCATTTTTGTCAACATTCCAGTGAGGTCACGACGTGACACCAACAAATGCAACCAGATCTCCGCCGAGCGCAAGCGATCTCGCTGATCGCCCGTGGGGGTACGCACCTGGCGCCCGTTGAAAACAGCCAAGAGCCAATTACAGTTGAGGCCCGTAACGGATAGAAATGGGATTATAACATATTATAACTCCTATATCTGAGGTTATATATCAGTAGAATCCCATTTATAATCATTTATAACCCTTAAGGACTATAACTGTACTAGGGGGGAATGCACATATCTGTATATTTAGGCAAATATACAAAACGACCCACTTATACTTGATTTATGATGAGGTACCCTTTGATCATGGAGTTTTTTTCCATACGTACGTTTGGAATAATGTGAAACAAAATTAAACATATAACAATATAATTGTAGTTGATGCTGTATAATAAGGAACATAATCAACAACCATTGGGATATCGATTGTGTGAAATTGGAATATCAGATATCTGCAACTGGGATATCATTATAGTTATAATGCAAACATTGTTGAACGGAATAGAGATTTTTCTACGCACACATTGGGAATAATTGCAATATCATATGCAACACTTGGGATACCAATTCAATATTCAGAACTGATCATGGATGATCTTGATGGGCTAAGTAGGTGATGACCCTGGTTTTGTTCGTCAGCTACAGCTGATCGTCCACTTTTGTCGGGCTGTAGGCTGCGGCTACTTACCAAGTGGGGTGTAGGGGGATACAACCAACAACAATCTCATAGAATCTCTATATATCTCTGTGATGTAGAATAATCAGTTAATATTTTAATGTTGTAATAAATTTGAAGTAATTACTTACCCTCTGGTTATTTAACATAGCCATGGGAAATGGCCCATGTATAGCTGGCTTACCTATTTTAAATTGTGATTTTAGTAATTTTAGCTATGTTAGTCATAACCACAGGGTATATTTTTTCATGGCCCCTGGGATTCGTCGTCAGCATCTGGCTTGTAAGCGATCCTCTTCCCGATTTCTTTGGTACAAGCTATGCTTACGAAGCATTTCCCAACTTCCAGGATACACCAAAGTCATATAAGGCCATTAGGGGCGAATCTTAGGGCTGCGGTGTAACCAGTGTTGTTTTGGTGTTGTTTTGCGCAGGCTTGGGATGGCGGTTCTCCAGTGTTTTTCTTGCAACGTTCCGGCTGGTCAGCAGTAGGGGAACCGTTGCAAAAAACACCGGGAACCGTTGCCGGAAAACACCGGGAAACTGTTGCAAAAAAAACAAAAAACCATCGCAAACAACACCGGCACAAGTCGGAAAAACTCAACTGCCTGGAAATACACTGGTTAAACAGTCGCAAAAAACCACAGCATTAGCCACAGCTAGGACCACAGCATTAACAATCGACTCTGTTGGTGACCTTTGGGGGGTTGAATCGCCATACCAGGGGCGGGCCACTAGTGAAATATGGTATCTATGAACTGTATGCACCTACACCTGCAAAACGGAGTCCCACAAAAGAGATCAAAAAAACCACTACCTGGGACCAAGTTCAACTTCAAACTTAGGATGTTTTATTTGCATTGCACCCATCTTTTTTCGCATGCATTGAGCATTCAGGTCTTCATAGTTGATTGCAAAGATCCAGAAATATAGTGACTACATGCACATAAAGTCTCCTCTCCTCTCCTCTCCTCTCCTCTCCGCTTCTCTTCTCTTCTCTTGTCTTCTCTTCCCTTCTCTTCTCTTCTCCTCTCTCCTCTTCTCTTCTCCCTCCTCTCTCCTCTCTCTCCTCTCTCTTCTCTCTCATCTCTCTTCTCTCCTCTCTCTCTTCTCTCTTCTCTCTTCTCTCTTCTCTCTTCTCTCTTCTCTCTCCTCTCTCCTCTCTCCTCTCTCTTCTCTCTCCTCTCTTCTCTCCCCTCTCTTCTCTCTTCCTCTCTTCCTCTCTCCTCTCCCCTCTCTCCTCTCCCCTCTCTCCTCTCCCCTCTCGTCTCTCTTCTCTCTTCTCTCTTCTCTCTCCTCTCTCCTCTCTCCTCTCTCCTCTCTCCTCTCTCTTCTCTCTCCTCTCTTCTCTCTTCTCTCTTCTCTCTTCTCTCTTCTCTCTTCTCTCTTCTCTCTTCTCTCTTCTCTCTTCTCTCTTCTCTCTTCTCTCTTCTTCTCTCCTCTTCTCTCCTCTTCTCTCCTCTTCTCTCCTCTTCTCTCCTCTTCTCTCCTCTTCTCTCCTCTTCTCTCCTCTTCTCTCCTCTTCTCTCCTCTTCTCTCCTCTCCTCTCCTCTCCTCTCCTCTTCTCTCCTCTTCTCTCCTCTTCTCTCCTCTTCTCTCCTCTTCTCTCCTCTTCTCCTCTCCCCTCCTTTTCCCCTCTCCTCTCCTCTCCTCTCCTCTCTCCTCTCCTCTCTCCTCTCCTCTCTCCTCTCCTCTCCCCTCTCCTCTCTCCTCTCCTCTCTCCTCTCCTCTCTTCTCTCTTCTCCTCCCCCTCTCCTCTCCTCTCTCCTCTCCTCTCCTCTCCTCTCTCCTCTCCGCTCCGCTCTTCTCTCTCTCCTCTCTCTCTCCTCTCCTCTCTCCTCTCCTCCCTCCTCTCCTCTCCTCGCCTCTCCCTGTGGTCTCCTCTCCCCTTCCTCTCCTCTCCTCACTAAAATTCACATATACATATCATCTCCTATACTCTCATCTCCTATAATTGTCCCGTACTGTCCTGTCCATGAGCTGATATGATATGGTATGACATAAATAAAATTTGTACGTGTATATATATATCGTATATATGTGTGCGCGTCTTGTTGCTCAGTACAAACTGAGGTCCTTACCCCATTCTTTGGCCTGTCTTCGATGGGAAGTCTTCCAGCAGTGCGAAGTCATCCCTCACGAATCGCAGCAAGAGAGTTTCTCCCAACTCGCATCGAAGGAAGCCCGGTAGGGTGATCTTCTTGTTAGGCTGAACCTCGACCGCACAGCAACGACTCTGAGCCGCTCCAAGTCGAAAGCACCTGAGCAACGTCCAAAAGGTGTGATTAAATGCCCATGTTGCATGGTTTTGCTTATGCGTGGGTTTATGCACTACTTACGCGACCACAATTTTGACTTACGCGGGGGTTGGGGTGTGAGACCGACACTTACGCGACTTGAATTGCCCAAATATGGTTTTCCTGCAAGGAATTGTTTACGCGGCGGCTTGGGACATGTTGACAGGAATGCTTACGCATGGGCTCATGCCATGCATCTATCTCCAAACTACTTACGCCGGACAGCCATATGACACAACCTTTTACTAAACACATGCAAGGAGGTTTTGGACCCTGCTTGCCTCTTCGCGTAGTCGAGATAGTCGACTTTCTTCTCCCCATCAACTCCTCTCTGCCGAGATTGGCCCGCGGTCCCAACACCGCTTGCAGTTCGAGACCGTGTATTCTGCGGCTCTTCACCGTCTGAAGACGGAGGCTTCGGGGGCGGAGGCTTGGGACGTGCTCCTTTGCCCCCTGTGTGTGATTGCTGCCCCTTTGCTGCAGCCTCCGCCCACGGGTCATTGCGAGTCCACGGGTCCTCTGTCGAAGAGGATTCTTTTCCTGTTCCTTTTCCTTGCACTGTCGATGCAGGCGCTGTGCCTTTGCCATTTGTTCTGCCCTTTGACCACGGATCATTTCCGTTGTCCCAGGGATCTCCAGCCTGCGCTCCCGGATTTGGCTTGGCCAATCGATCCTGGCCATCCCGTGGATCTGGTGCCGTGGAATTGGCACTTCCACCCTGACTTCCACCACCACTCCACGGATCCCTACCATTTGCCCAAGGGTCTTGCCCCCCGGACCATGGGTCCTCCTCCTCCTCTAATGGATCTGTTGTCGTTGGTTCCGAACAGTCCATACTGGGTTCCGATTCGGGTTGAATCTGCTGAACTGGCGGGACATGTCTCCCGCGTGTAGCAACTCTGCTAGGGTGTTCATTGGCAGGTTCGTCCTCAGAGCCCCAACTTTTCTCTGACTCGGACGACTCACCATTATCCCTCATGCCGCCTAACTGTTCAGGCAATTCTTTGAATTTGTCTAGGATCAAAAACCTTGGTCATTCATTACAGTACAAACGTCAGGTCTAGATGTTGATTTGTCATTCATTGATAAATGTTCATTTTGTTTTCTTGTTGTAGCCATTCCACATTCCACACTTTTAATGGTAATGAACAGTTGACCCCTGAGCTGGACGGAAGAAGCGCGGGTCGACTGGAATCCAGTATGTTCAATTTGCCGCAAACACGTGTCAAATAAACTGCCACGACCGCAACACAAACAAAAATACCAAAAATAATGAATTGATTCTTTGTTGATGCAAGCATCCAAAAAACACAACTCTACCTGCTGACAACACCATGTGTTGACTGTGGATTTAAAAGATCCAGCAAAAACTGATGATTCACCCTGATGCATTTTTGTTCTGTTTGCGGTCCACACTTGTTGTCTGCATTTCAAATTGTCAAAAAGGCACGTGGCGCAATTTGGCAAGTCAAACACATTGTCATTTTGACCACACAAACGACATAAACCACATCGCAATTGCAAACAAAGTAGGCGGGGGATAATTTCGTGCCTGTGACAGGGTGCTGAATTCTAAATGTCCACCCAGGTTCATGACAACAGACTGCCAGGTTGTCGTCTTATCCCTATAATTTGTAGAAATCCAAATGTTATCACTACGATCATTGTGTCTGGTTCGCAGGTGACGCAGTGGTAAAGTTGATGGTTTTGTTTTCAATGGTAATGCGATTTTGCGGTTTGAGGGACGAACAAATGGTATTCAAATTTGGTTCACCAACATGTGCAAGTTCCCCACCCCACGTCATTGTGGCATAGCGTGCTGTGCAAGTGCAAGGTCGATTTTTTTGCATATAGGCCCATATTTAGAATCAAAAACCCGTTCTGCTTCTTTTCCTTGAATCACAAGCGCCTTCAAATATGAACAGATACTACACTGATCAACTATGTGACATGGAGTGCAAAGCTACAGCTAAACTGACAGATCTACCTAAACGCAAATGTCTTGCACTCCGCCTTGCCACCAGGTTCAACTAGGTAGCAAACGCTTGTAAATGACTACAGGATTCTTTGCACAGCCAAATGAATGCCGCTGGGGCAGGATTTGTGCTGTGCCATACTTGCGCCGTCTCTTTGAGACAAAATTCAAAGGGCTGTGATCTCTAAGATTCTAGCCTAAATTCAATAATGCTGGTGCCCACTTCACGATGTATCAGAGTTGCTATCTGACTCACCATGGTGATATACCATCCATTCTTCCAGGTCACTGCGCCGACAAAGTTCACTGTTGAGATATCGTTGACCTCTCTGGTTTTCTGTTTCCATCACCTCATCACTGTCTGATTGGTTTTCTTCCTCTGGATTTTCATGTGGTTCACCATCAAGCATGCTCATCAATTGATTTGCAACTGCATTGACATGTCTGCTTTCAGTTGGGTGGTCGTTGCTTGAACCGGCATGGACTGTATCTGAAATCGCCGATCCAATGTTGAAAGCTCGTTCTGCAGCATCCATCTCATTGACAACCTGAATCAAAGACATCTGGTGCAATGGAGAATTCTCGTCCTCTGACAAATCCTGCATGTTGCGCGTCATGACCGACGCTGCGTAGCGTGCTTCTGGATCTGAACTCCTGCACGCTTGCATGACTTCTCTCAGAACTCCCAAACGTTGTTGATACAGGGTTCTGCGGTCTTCTCCAACACAACCATCAGGACGTCTCAAGCACCTGTTGTACATGCATGTCAACATTGCTTCAGGTGACCAAGCCTCATTTGGAAATGGCAAATCGGCAGGGGTCTCGAAAAACGGCATACCAGAGGCATCAGATGCATGAGGGCCTGTAACAGGCAGATGAGAGCTGGTGGCTGTACCAGCCATCAATGCTGCACCAGCAACTCCAGCTGCATCAGCGCTTTCAGGAATTGTTTTTTTTCCTCTGTTGCGGCCGATATCGCTCTGAGGCTCGGTCCTAACATTGGGATAAGCAGACAAACTAATTAGAAACTTCAGCAAAACACAGTGGTCTCACTCATAAGGCAAATCAAAATAAGAACCACACAAGCACCAACACCAAGAGACGACACGCAAATCCCCCAGCCAGATTTGCGTTTCGCCATCGAGAGAAAAACGGCGAAACAAGACAAGAACGGGGCCGGAGCCCAAACAAAACACCCACAACACAGCAAGACAAGATTTGCCAAGTGACACAGTGGATATATCCCACCGTGTCATCAAAAACATGCACTACAACTAATTAAATTCTTCATCCATGGCCCAGCAAACAGTGTGAAACGATCTTCAGCAAATTGCCACTAATAAAAGAGGCAAGTTGTGATATTATAAAACTGTACACAGCGGAAGCATTCCCTCAGATTCCTCTCACATGTGCTTTTCCAAGCATCCGCCATCGAATCATACCCTGGTAGAATGTATGATCACGACCCTTTCACCACAGCCAATATGAAGTTAGCTGTTACCGTTTGCTGTCAAGCCATCCCCCCTAGGGGGAACGGCAAAGGGGGCCCTGACGATGCAGTCAGGCAGGGCCAGGCTGCCAATGACAGAAAAGTTGCACCAATCGTACCGTCAAACATGCTGAAATGTCGCTGCCTGAGGTAGTAAGAGTGAGCACTGAACTCAGGGAGTATATCCACATCACCCTCACTGCGATGATGTCAGCCAAGGGTGAAGAAAGGCTACGGTATAGAAAGGCAGCACTATCGAAATAAAACGTCTGAGACGTTGCAGGTTGTGATGTAGAAAGCCAGACTGTTCAGGCACCTTCAGAGTATCTTCGTCTCCAGCTGGTACTTGCAGTGTAGCGCTACATCGGTAGAAAAGTTGGCTCACCAGGAGCAGCCTTCAGCAGTGGCCATTCACTCACCCACAGAGTGGAGCAACTATCTGATCACAGCACCGAAAAACGAGCCATTAGGGCAGACTTTGCTGCACAGGGGCGCCCCGGGCTGTCCGGCAGAGAGCAGCACTGGTCAGCGCCAGTGCCACTCGCTGCAGTGCAGCCCAGTCCATGGCTTCGGCCGGCAGCGAAACTACCCCCGAGAGTAGAAACGAAGACGAAAAGGACACGAAGCCAGGAGACAAACAAAAAGCAAACGAATTCAAAGGTACAGACCGTCCAAAAGCAGTTGAAGCGGGAAGGTCAGGGGGCACCTCGGGTGTTCCTGAGTTGAGCAGCTGTGGCTTGGTGTGGGAAACAAGCTTCTGATGACCTCAGTCGCCTTGGTGGTAAGGATAAACCAAACAACACAAACAACAGCCAACAACAAAAACAACGGTCCAGTGGTGCGTCAAGACGCGCCTGAAATGCTGCCAAGTGACGTCACGTTCTATTTTCTATGGTTTTGGCGGTGTTTTTGTGTTTTTTCATCTGCTTGTGTCATGTCATTTCATGTTTGTTCTTTTAAAATTTTGAGCGAAATTTCCATGGCACCACAGTTTCGCGCATGTCGCACGGGGCTACAGCGAAATGCATCGTTTTAAATGTTGGTGGTAGTTTCGCTACAGTGAAATGGCATTTTTTACCCACATAATTTACTTTTTTTTGACTTGGATTTTTCACATAGCAGCTACATCATGTTGCACGGGGCTACAGCGAAATGAAGGTTTTTAGTCTTTTTCGTGTTTTCGTTACAGCGAGGTGCACCTTTTTTGATGTATGGTATGGTTGATTCTAGTTTCATAAACAATGAGTTGTGTGTGTGTTTGAATGTGTTTTCAGCTGAATACGGCATTTGAGAGCATTCGAAGAATCCACAGCTCAAAGAAGCTGACACGGACGCTTCTTTTTTGTCCTGGCGAGTGAACTCATTCGAACAGCCAAGAGCTGTTTTTTTTTGTCCAAGACCAGGAAGTCTTTGGGTTCATGTCCCAAGGCAAGTTTCACTTTGTTCCGGACGTAACATCGGGAGCGTGTCGAGGATTGCAAGAGAAGATCTATAGAGCGTAGCATCATGAGCGTGTCGAGGATTGCAAGAGAAGATCTATAGAGCGTAGCATCGGGAGCGTGTCGAGGATTGCAAGAGAAGATCTATAGAGCGTAACATCGGGAGCGTGTCTAGGATTGCAAGAGAAGATCTATAGAGCGTAGCATCATGAGCGTGTCGAGGATTGCAAGAGAAGATCTATAGAGCGTAGCATCGGGAGCGTGTCGAGGATTGCAAGAGAAGATCTATAGAGCGTAGCATCATGAGCGTGTCGAGGATTGCAAGAGAAGATCTATAGAGCGTAACATCGGGAGCGTGTCGAAAGGAAGATGCAACAGGAAGAAGGCGACAGAACGCTATTAAGCCCCCCCCCACCCCCCCACCCCCCGTACGAGGGAATAATAAGGCCTATGTGATTTTGAGCTCTGGGCACCCAGATTGGGAAAGTTTAGTATTGAACTCTTAAACTTTTCCTAATCTTCAAATTTGGGAAACAGTTTAATACTAGACGACGGTTGGCCCGGAGCGAAAAAGATGTTTTTCAAGCAGCTCTGAGGATGGTAGTCGTAAAAGATAGTCGGTGAATAGTTGGTGAATTTTATATGAGCTATGGAAGGATATGGTGTGAAAAAGTAAGATTGATCAAGAAGAGAATATTTGGTAAAGGGCATCAGATGACATGTGTCTTGCAACCACAGAGAGAAAGAGGGGGCAGAGATAAAGAGAGAGAGAGAGAGAAAGAGAGAGAGAGAGTGAGAGAAAGAGAAAGCAAGAGAGAGAGAGAGAGAGAATGAAAGGGGGGGCTAGAAAGAAAACATGGAGAAATGTAATGTGAGCAACAAAAGTGCACAGGAGGCTCAGTGCCATGAGTCTGCGAATGACATGTGCTATCTCATTTTATTATGGTAATTCCCACACACATTGCGGAAAAAGGCGCAGCACCATCATTCCGTGAACGCGAAGAAACGCGACGCTTTTATACAGAGACGCTTTTACACACATAATCTTTTACACATAAACACTTTTACACACAGACGCTTTCACACA